ATTAAATCTCGGATAGACCGCAACAAGTTTTTCCAATGTTTAAAAAAAGTGACTGAATCATTTAAGTCGCTCAAACGACTCGTAAAAAGTTACCTAAAGCCTTGGCAATACCGACAAAAAAAAAATCACCGCGATGCGTTTTGTGAGTCGAACAACTGTCATACGCCTTATGCATGCAGGCAAATCCTGCATGTCGGTCGTGCTAGCTTTCCAGCGCGACGGATCGCTGACCGTTTTTTTCTAGGCCATACCTATTTCAGCCATATCGCCGCGATTTGGCGGAAATCTTGCGATATCGCGTCCCCATCAAATCGCGACGGGGCAAAAGAGCTGGAATTGGATTTCTTTTTTGGAATTTTCTGAAACGGTTTTTTTCTCTTTCGACTTGTTTTTTTTTGCGGAAATGTTAAAACGTGATGATCTTCCGAAACGCACTTCCTTGTGTTGTGAAGCGCGTTCTTTGAAGTTCGTGCCATCAGTCGAAATGAATATCTTCGATTGTTCGAAACTCGTAGAATAGCATGCGTAGTATCTAGATATTTGTGAAACCGCAGCTACAACTTGAGAAAACTGACTTTGCATCCTGTATCTAATGAAAAAAGTGAACGATAAATGCAAATGCGGAAGAAACTGTAATGAAAAATGTTGATTCGAACATATCGGTGTCGAAAAAAGGCAAAAAATCTGCAAATGTAAAGAAACTACGCTGAATAGTGCTTTTGGATGCCAAAAAAACTTAGAACGAGTGCTGAGGTGTATACTTTCACCCAATCGCTGAACAGTTAGGTATATCGACAACGCGATCAGCGATTTAATAGTTGCGATTTCGTCGCTACAATCACGGATTTTCCCAGCGACGAAATCGCGACGATGGAATCGCTGTACGCATGGCGAAGGCTTAACAAAATCAGGGTGTTTGAGAACACTGCTACACAACTTTCTAAACTTTTTCGTTTTCTTTTTCTTTCGAATCCTGTTTCACAGGTGCTGTATGCTGCAAATTTTGCCGTAGTCTTTCAGTAACGAAGATCGATGGGGTGAATCGCTCCAAACTGCATTTCTAAGCTGAAGCTCTCTTTACTGAGTTATACAGGGTGTGTTATGTCCCAAAAAAATGTTAACACTGTTTGATCGTTAATAACTCCCTTGCTTTCAAGTCTTTCGCCGAGCTTTAGAAACCGTTTTGTAGAGCGAGGATAAACTTAGATTTACAGTATGGAGCGAATCAAACGCTCTTCGTTACTGTAGAATTACGGTAGGAAATTTGACAAGGATTTAGGCCACTAAAGGCCATTTTCTGCTTTGAAACAGAGCCAAACAAGCCAAAATCTCTTGCACTATGGTAATGAAAGCCGCTAATTTCGCATATAAAAATTCCATTTTATTATGATACTTCTTTTCAAAGTTATCCTAGGTAAAGTGTAATAATTGACTTCCCAGCATGTGTCAAAAATATGATAACACCGTCAAAAAAGCTGAAAACTTTGTAAAAAGTTGTGTAGTAAAATCAGCGTGCGCAAAAACCCTAGTACACGATTTTTCAGATTTTTTGAAAAAAAATTTTGTCAGAGGGCATCTTTCACGACGGTTCCACATGATGGAATTTCTTACCGTAATCCTACAGTAATGAAGAGCGAACGGTGATTCGCTCCATACTGCAAATCTAAGTTGAACCTCGCTCTACAGAATGATGCTTCAAGCTCGCCGAAAGACATGAAATTAAGGGAGTTATTAACGATCAAACAGTGTTAACATTTTTTTGGGACACTCTGTACATGAAGTCAAGCAAAAGACTTTGTGAGGAAACTTTTCACACATTTGAAAAGTGTGTACTCGGGTTGCATTACGATGAAGGACCAAGTAAAGGAGGATCTATGGACCATATGTACTCACCTTTGAGACACCTTGTATATTAGATCACCGCAAAAGTTTCGTCAATTTTCTGAAATGACCCGCAATCCGTTACAGTGGGGACCAAAACATCGATGCAGATTTTTTTCTCCAGCGCCACATTTTCAATGTGATTCGTTGTGAGAGTGCTAAGATATTCGCTGGAGGTTACAACCCTTCATTTTCACCGTGTTTAATTTTCGCTGATTTTCAGAATTTTATCTGTGACTTTCCTAATTGTTCTGGTGTCCAACTGATAGGACAAACTTTTTGCAAATTGATGCAATTTTTTGACTTCGTGGTTTGTCTTTGAGAAATTCAAACATCTTATATATAAAGCTGAATGTCTGTTTGTATGTCTGTCTGTATGTCTGTCTGTATGTCTGTCTGTATGTATGTATGTATGTATGTACGTATGTTCCGAATAGAAAATTCCATTTCTGAACCGATCCGGACCAAACTTGGCACACATACACTACGGGCCCCGGCGGGTGTCATAGGCTACTTTTCGTCATCGATCGATATCGATTTTATCGATTTTTATCGATTTTTTTGCTGAGTTCACCTACGGGGCTGGGAGTTGGCACAGGGGGGTAATCGAGCATGGGGATTCCGAATACAATATTGGTTTTCAGGATTATCGATTACTTTTATCGATTTTATCGATTTTTTTGCAAAGTTTGAGCTACGGGGCTGGGAGTTGGCACAGGGGGGTAATCGAGCATGGGGATTCCGAATACAATATTGGTTTTCAGGATTATCGATTACTTTTATCGATTTTATCGATTTTTTTGCAAAGTTTGAGCTACGGGGCTGGGAGTTCGCACAGGGGGGTAATCGAGCATGGGGATTCCGAATACAATATTGGTTTTCGGGATTATCGATTACTTTTATCGATTTTATCGATTTTTTGCAAAGTTTGAGCTAGGGGGCTGGGAGTTGGCACAGGGGGGTAATCGAGCATGCTGATCATCCCCAAGGGGGTGATCAGCATGCTCGATTACACCCCTGTGCCAAATTCCAGCCCCCTAGCTCAAATTTTGCAAAATCGATAAAATCGATAGAAGTAATGGATAATTCCAAAAACTAATATTGTATTCGTAATCTGCATGCTCGATTACCCCCCTGTGCAAACTCCCAGCCCCGCAGGTCAAACTTTACAAAAAAATTGATAAAATCGATAAAAGTAATGGACGATCCTGAAAACTAATATTGTGTTCGTAATCAGCATGCTCGATTACCCCCCTGTGCAAAATCCCAGCCTCGCATGTCAAAATTTACAAAAAATCGATAAAATCAATAAAAGTAACCGATAATTCTGAAAACTAATATTGTATTCGGAATCCCCATGCTCACTTCCCCCCTGTGCCAACTCCTAGCCCTGTAGGTGAACTCTGCGAAAAAATCGATAAAAATCGGTAAGATCGACATCGATCGATAACGAAAAGTGGACTGTGACACGCGCCGGGGCCCGAAGTGTATGTGTGCCAAGTTTGGTCCGGATACGGCGGAGCCGGGTAAGCCAGCTAGTATTTCTTAAAATGACCAAATATTCGGCCTTATAACCTCGTAGAGCATTAAAAAGTAAACAGTTCAGGTACCATTCCATGCAACTTTTTCTCCTCTTCCCAATAATTATCCATTCTTACAGAGAAATGCGAAATTGGAGGCAGTGGGGGGGGGGGGGGAGAGTGGCAGTATTCTCTCAAGAGCGCGCACTGTCATAGAAGTTTCAAAATCTGCATATTTTGAAGCGAAAATCGCCGATTTGCTTTGTAAGCTTTGTACTAATAAGGATCAAGTCTTTAAACATCAGCATTCTAAAGATTTTGCAGTACTTGGTGCATCAACGTGTTATTCGTTTTTTTTTTCCCAAAAATCCAACTTTCGGGAAATTATTTAGCATTTGAAAAAAGCTGCGAAGAGATAAAAAACTGCTTCACCTGGCAAACGATTTACCCTGCCCCTTGTCTGCTCGTAAGTTAGATATGGAAAAAATGAAAAATTGTAATCTCCAACAATTATCTCAGCATTTTTCAAACCACATCGGGACTGCTCGAAGTATTACGTTGTCCGGAAATTAAAGTCGCAAAGTGATAACAAAAAAAAGTGAGTGGATAGAAAATCTCCGCGGAAGCATTGTTCCACCTGATGTGCGAACCCCACATAAATTCATATCCGAAATTTGTATCTCCGTACTTAAATGTCTTAGTTAGGGATCTTTGCACAAGCATGTACTGTTTACATCAAAGATTCATGTGTACAGTTAGTGAGATTTTCCCATGGCTAGAACATGAGATATAAATATAGGTCAAAATTCCAATATGTCACTTTTTTGTGAAAATTTGATTTTTACCGATATAGACTTTGTAGGAAGCTGAAATTTCATATCTATACTTCCAAGGATTACACTAAAAATTCACTGTCTTGGAAGCTCACGACTGCTTTGAGGGTGAAATAAAAAAAATTGACAGAACTCCTGCACCGACCTGATATAATATGCAACATAGAGAGTATACGTATGATATGTGAACGAAACGACGATTCTTAGAATTTTGGATGGAGACCCATTTTTTCGGCTGCTTGAATCTCCTCAGATTTTGGCACCGTATAAAATTCCACCCAATATTTTCCAAATTTGGCAGATAAAGGCAGGATTTAGTACAAATCCATGTGTATAGGTCACTCATGAAATCGTTACGATAGATTTTATTACCATTCGAGTTGAGATAGAACCAAGAAAATGCGATTGCCGGAAGTGCATGAGTGTCGCGCGCTGTCGCACCATCGTCACGAATTTTCGATGCCCTACACAGTTGATTTGACTCATGCTGGCGATAAACGTTGATTTCCGCAATTATCCGAGTATGTACTACTGCATGACAGTTGCGGAACTGAGAGTTAAAATTTATAACAACATGAACAGAAAAATAACAAGCAAACTTGATAACAAGATCTTCTCACTTTACAGTATTAGTCACCAAGTGATAAAAGGATAACAAACTGAAAACTGACAAAACCTAAAAATTCAACCCCGTTGGATGAGGTAAAAATCAGTACTAGAATTGACTCATTGAAGATACACACGAAGAGCAACCGGCAGCATATTAGTCTAACCTTGAAATGAGAAAAAAAAAAGAAAAAAAAGCCTACACGAGCAGCTATGCTTATCATTGTGATACTCGGGATGTGTCCACAGTTGCACGTGTGTCAGGTCTGTGCCGAAACCGGTCCCGCCGCGGGCAACTCTGGACACGCATCCCAGGTCGCGCTACGTGCATATCTGCGTTAATGAATCAATTAGATCCTTGAGCCTATATGATATTTCAAATCCTAACTAAGACTAAACTAATTTGAGCAAGCTGAATCCTATGATTTTTTGTCGCTCTCTTCCGTCTCGGCTGGCTTATATAAGGAGAAGAGTTTAGCCAGTTGTTGAAAATCTTCTACACTCCTTGCTTCCTCGATCAAACGCCGAGCAACGTCTACTCCAGAGCCAAATACATTGAGGAGGAGAACACCAACAACCTGAGAGCAGTAAAACCATTAGCAAACCGCGTGAAAATCAAAGATAATGATTTTGACAGCAAACAACTGATAACGAAATTTCGCTTTGGTACAGTACGGTATGAAATTATGGCTGACTATAAGAGAAAATGTTTCGTTAGAAGCAGCCTAAATACGCAAGCTATGATAAACTTTCTTAACTTAAATCTCAAATCTCAAAACAATTTTCAAAAACCACAGACAAAAATAGAAATACGCTAGTTAGATAGAAAACCTCACCTTTCCATCAGCTCCTTTGTAGAAAACAACGCCACGGTCGTAGCTTTCTTTTTCGTCATGCTGCAATACAGGATAGAATTTAAATGGTATAAAAAGAGCACCGATGGAGTTAAAAAAACAAATCAAACTCACGTCCTTAGCAAAAACAGAAACTGTAGGTAACGAAGAATCTGTGATACCCACGGCATTTATATGCCATTTTGGGGCGATTTTTGTGAAATACGATGGTTGATACCTAAGAAATTAGATGAAAAGAAGCGATTTGGAGGGAAAAGTCATCTGGATAAAAAAGCATATTAGCTTCAACTCACCAGAAAGCTTTGCCCGCACCAGTCATGTTTTCACCAGCCAGCCTTCCACTTATCTAAAGTGATCGTTTTTGTATGATTGGACGAGCAAATTTGAAAAAAAAACAAGGAAGAAGAAGATCAAACCTGCGCGTTCTCCCAATGCTCAATACGCCGTCGACCCAAAGATCTGTCATAGAATGAAGCAGCATCACCGGCTGCCCATATTCCAGTTCGAACTCGCAGCTCAGCGTCAGTCGCGATGCCACCTAGTCGATCGTCGACCTACATTGACACCATATGATTTGAAACGGAAGAAAAAATTCTACTTTTTAATCATACCTCAAGTCCAGAAGCCTTCGCTACAGTTACATCGGGTTCGATTCCAATTGCCACCACTACATACTCAGATGTGACCTTTTTCGAACCGTTTACCTAAACGCAATTCAAATCAGAGCGCTTCGGCAAGCGACCTCAGATTACAATATCACTCTAAAGCAGTGAGGGACTAAGGGAGGGGGTACAAAATTGTGCAAACTGGATTTTACTTTTAGGTGATTTGCATGAATTCAAGACTCTTATGTAAAATCACTGCAGCTTTGTAAAGATTCGGAACGTGACTACTACAAACTGGTAAAAGCTTCGAATATATCCTGAGAAAAATTTCGAAGAATGCTCTCTCGCTCTTGCTCACTCAAAAAAAATCCTAAGACTGTCACTGCTTAATTTGGACAAAACCCAACAACGACAATTTCTAGTCTTTCGTGTACACCGCAAAAAATGGCAACAAATTATAGAATTTTTGCATTTCTCCCACCTCTGTACGCTAACAGCGCTTGCATACAGTAAGACCCAATATCAATTTTTGTATATCACAATTTTAAACGTACCTCGAGTTCCACGTTGTCTCCCTTCCGCCGGGCAGATATGATCTGGAAAATTCTTATGATTCATAGAAAATCAATAGTTTAAATACGATGTACAGATACCTTTGTATTTGTCATAACATTTACGCCAATTTCACGGAGTGAATCTGCAGCTTTCTTCGACAGGTGCTCGGGTAGAACGCCACTAAGGTTTCCGCTCTCAGCAATCACCTACAAGAATGACTGAAATCTTGGAGGAGTGTAAAAGGCAACACCCAACCTGATTTACCGCCACATTTTCATACTTTCTGCGGATGCTATATGCAAGCTCTGAGCCAAGAAAACCTCCTCCTACGATTGTGACTGATTTAGACGACTTGCAAATGGATTCCAATCTGCGATAGTCTTCAATCTGTGAGTATTCAGAATGTAACAATAATAAGCGGTATCTTCGAGACTTACTCCACGCAGATACACGACTCTTTTTTCCAACTCGGGAGAACTCTTCAATTCCGGTAAGGTTTTTGGTCTTCCTCCTATAGGACACAAGTTGGAGAAAGTAAAGTGAAGAGATGATGCTGTAGGAGATACCTGTGGCGATCAGACATTTGTCGTACTTGATACATGTCTTATCATCAAGGTATGCTTTCTTCTCGTCAGGGCAGATCTTCTCGACGCGACGGCCTTTCAACAACGACACTCCACCATGAGCAGTGCTTGGCAATTCACTGCATGGCACAAAGAAACCCTAAACAGCATGATCAACTTGGGCAAGACGAGAGTTCCCATCTAGCGCGTTCAGGTAATCTGACAGTTCAATATGATCTGGCTAGCGATTTTACAGCACAAACATTATTTTGAGCTAGAGCAACTCACTTTGGACCTTTTGCTGCTGCATCTAAAAAAAGCTATCAAGTGCAGTCTAGCGCGAAAGTCTTATAGATGAAATGTTGACAATAATTTCCAAAAAAGATAATTAGGGAAAAACAGATACAATTAAATTGGATGTTGGATTGTTTTTTGTTCGGGCCAATCATAACGTCCGATCACGACCGTTCTGATTAATTCCGAAGCTAAAACATAGATTATACAATCCACGACATGCAAAGACTGGGCGCCGTTGCGTCTGAACAAGATAGTTCGTGCATGGGAAAGAGAGCACATGGTAAGAGAAAGGAAAGAGCGCTTGATTAGATTAACGCTGATACGTCTGCAGTCTTTGCGCGCTACGAATGGTATACAAGAAAAAACTCACGCTTGCTTGCCAGATCTCCCCCCCCCCCCGTCTCTCCTTCTTATAAAAGCTCATTTCTAAGCATGATGAAAAGACAGACAAGATAGCAAAGTCGAAAATATCAGTGCCTCTACTAAACTCACATCTGCTTCGAAGAAAATGTCGCGTTTCTTTCCGGCAAGACTGGTGTATTGCAAAGTGCTAGCAACCTTCTCATCCCCGTACCACCACAACTCCTTCGATAGAGGAGGTCTATTATACGGTAGATAATCTTCCTCTCCTATCTGAAATGAAACTTATCATCAAAAACCGCTGAGATTTTATCACTCGCACGCACCATGAGAACTTTAGCGTCAGCATGTCGAGCTCGGATAGCCAAAGATGCATAGTATGCGGCTGTTCCAGCTCCCACCAAAAGATATTCAACATGTTCGGGAACCTTAACAAACCATGATAAAGATACAGGAACGAACGCCTTCTTGGTCAAAAGCTCAGAAGTGTGTGAAATGTCAAGAAATCCAGCCGTGAAAGTGAAAAGCCCAATGCAAGACCTGAGCAGACGTTCAACATTCAAATATATTAAAGCAAGCCTATGACATCTCATATTCTTTTATAGGTATCTTTTATAGTTATCTGTGCATGAGGCATAAGTATGTTCCTCTCAAAAACGTAGAATAATGCCCATTTTTGACTTCAATGCGACTGACAAACATTCACAAGAGATGGAAAAATTCAAAAACCTATCTTTTCAAACTCTATATGAATCTGATACATAATTACAGCACTTGTGCCAGTTTATAATTTTAATGCTGATAAGATGAAATGGGGCACAAACACAGCGAAAGACTCTTTATCTCTAAGATGTAACAACTGATTGAGCAATCTAACAACTACGCCTGTAGGCACCTAACTCATAAATCAACCTTCTTCTTCGGAATATCGACCGCTTCTTGCTGGCTTTGAGGGCCTTTGAACGTCGTATTTTCGCGTTCCTGTAATTTACTCTTCAGGTCGCGCTATACACAACCACACTCTGAAAAGTGAACTCACAGCATCTTCTGGTGTCTTCACATCGGTCCTTTCAGCAGTTTTATTAACCTGGGGCGAAGTGCCCTCGTGAGCTTCCTATAACAGGTAAGATAGATAGAGCGCATCCTCGTGACAGCACTTACCTCGACAGTAATCTGATGAGCTATCGGCTTGATCACCTCTTCCCTCGCTTCTGGAGATTCTGTAGATGAACTCACTGGTTGCGCACGACGTGGTTCTGCCACCTCATGCACAACTTCTGTCTTTGGCTTAGCATGCTCGTGTGTAGGCGATTCCGGTACTGATGCACTCTCTTGCAATTCTTCTACGTGCTTGACTTCTTCGGTTGGTGGTGGATTCTGAATATTATCCAATACGGCCACATCCGATCGTAAAAGCAAAAGCATCTTCAGACTACCTACTTAAAAAATTCTATCACTATAGGAACAACATTCACAATTAGCGACTTCAATTCCATTTGATATGCTATCACCTTCGCTCAAAACTCAGGTGCGATTACACGAAAAGTGAAATCGAAACTACCGGACTAATAAACAACACACAGAAATGGACCGACAGATACACAGGATATTCCGGTCTAGGAAAACTAAGAAGATGAAAAAATTAATCTAGAGCGGATGAAAAGTCTTTACCTGTACTTTTGCAGCAGCAGGTTTGCTGACATGCTTTGCAGTGGAGGACTTCTTCCCAGTACCAAAAATATCGCCATAGTATATCTGAAACAAAACAACAGAGTATGTCTTCAAAATTCACCTACAAATGGAATGGAAGTGAATCATCTGTAACAACTAACCACAGCAAGCGCTGTCAGCAGAACGCCAAGGCCGGCTCCCAGATATGAAAGAAAGTCAGATTTACCAGGCTTGTGTGGTTCGCCGGGATAATGTTCCTTGAATGCACAAAGATGGTTGAAATCAACTATATAAAAAAGCATCATCAATGAAAACGACTACCTCGTGGCGGCGTAGAAATCTTTTTTCTCCTGGCTCTCTAGGTTTTGGTTCGTAAACAGGTAATGGTCCTGAATCACAACGTTCTACACTGAGCGGAAGATTATAAAAGAAAAAAAGACTCAAACCTCCGTGTTCCACTTCACTTGCAGCTGCTAATGCTGTCGTTCTAATGAGCCTAAATGTTTGTGCTTGCAATAAACGCCGGCTTATTTGAGATGTTAAAAGCCGGCTAAGCATGATGAACGTCTGCATTGAAGATACGATTATGCAGATCAAAAGATATGTTAAAAGTTGAATAAAATGTCAGATAGGTAGTTCAAACTGATCTTCTTACACATATTTAATTAGGAAAATTTATTTAAGAGAACAAGACCCGTGACAATGAGATATGGCCGAAAATTGAATGTAAGACACTCATACAGTCATCCAAACAAATCTATCAACCAGCAGCAGATAAGGTCCTCGCTTGCGCATCAGCTAACAGAGAAGCATAGGCTGCTGGGACTTTGCAATTCTCCAATTTCTAAAACATAATGTTCATAAAGACTTGACAAGAAAGTATAAAATTACCTTTGCTACCATTCTGCTAGCCGCAGGACTCTTTGACCCGACAATACAGAGTGCATCACTGCGAAATCGAGACCAGCGCATGGTAGGGTCAAACAGTAAACCTAAAGTATAACAAATGTTGAACTAATAAAATTGATGAGCGTTTTTGACAAAATGAACAGAGCTAAAAATCTAGGCACATGTCCAAAAGAAATTCGCAAATGCATGACTACGCTGAAAACGCAGCCAATTGGTCCCGTATCATATCATAAAATGCCTAATTCTTCAAAAAAAAAACTCTAAAATAAGTATCTAATTGACTGCTTATAAAAGTGATAGGCATAGAAAACCTATATGAATAATTTAATAAGTGATTATGCATTACAATGCAATATATAACTTACTAATGTCCAATGGCTTCTTGATTGTTGTGCTCCACTTATCTAGCAACACCATGACAGCTGTGTGATAATTCATAGCCTCAGGATCTGTCGCTGGCTCACCCTCTAACTCTAGCAGATAGGTTAACATTTTCTCAAATACCTGAAAATACTATATACCTCGAAGGCTAACAATCAAAACTGCGCACCTCTTGTCTAAAGATATCTGCTAGATGAGGCGAGTCTCTGAATCCTTTAAGGAAGTACCCGGGATTCCTATTTATATAACTAGCGAAGACAGCTGCCATTGGCCGATTGATAGGCATAAAGCGTGTAGCGTAAACGACGAAAAATACAGTGAATTCTGGACATGAGGTTTCTAGCGGTAGAAGGAACTCGAACTGAAATATAGAAAGATGAGTTTAGGAGAGTAACAAGCATGTAATCTAGATACTCCGTCAACTTGGTAAAAGTACAACTCCCAGATAATTGAAAAGATAAACATACAAGACGATAAAATTTTTTTAAAGCATGCTCAAACATCTAATTACATACACTATCACATTGTAGTACGTCTACGCGCCAACCTATCAAATCAATAGCTTGCATGCTCAATCGTGGGCGTCAGTTTTTAGTTGACCCAACAACGCTGAAGATAGCGTGAAGATAGCGGCATTGTAGATAACAACAACAAAGCGTACGTGACGCATAGAGAAATTGCCAGCAAAATTTGTGCTTCAGTTGTAAAAATACATGAAAGACTGAAATGCTTAAACTAGGTTGTAGAAGACTAGGATTACTTTCGAAGAAGCAGATGCGCTGACTATCAGCTTTTTGAATGAAACGCCGCCATTTACCCAGTTGAGAAAGCAAAAGAGCATGTTCTTAAGGCTGTCGTTGAAAATGACAGCAGAGAAAACCGCGAAGATAGACTACTCAACTCACAATTTTGGAATCAGCAGGTTTCAAATAATGCTCAGCCAAAACTGCGACCAGTTCTTCAGCATATGGCTTGCTGCTGCCAACCTATAAATTTCTATATCAACGAATGCCTAGAAAAGGGTAAAGTCGCTACCTTAGATAACCATAGCGAGATCTGGGCGTACAGCTGCAGAACGGGGAACTGCAAAGCGTACGAGGCTAACCGGTATAAGACGCCAAGTCTTAGCTCGTGGATGTGTGAATCCCCCTCTCTTCCAAGGAATAGCACTTCAAAATAAGTGTACTTGTTCATCTCATCTCGTTCCTAAATTTAAGAAAATTGTCTTGTCCGATGCGTCTGACAAGCTTGAAATTACAACATACCAGAGATTCATAAACCTAGAGTGAGCCAACAGCAAGGGAAACTTACCGTGAAGAAGTGAGCTAACAGGTTGATCAGCGTGAATTCTTGAAGTTGTGAAAGACGAGAAGTTTTCCTATCGGCAGCCAGGCAGAATATCTCGTTATCAATTAACAGCTGCAAGTCGTTGTTTTTTGTAAGCGATGGTCGGCCTCGTCCATGGCTAGACAAACGTATGTGTTTGGAGACCTAAAACTGCTCCATGGAATATTAAAAAATTATTACATGTTTTTTTAAGTATGCAAAAGCCATGAAGTATAAACCACAAGCAAGATTCACCTGCAGCAATGCTTCTGTGACGCAGGCTGGAAAGGCAAGCCCCAAAGATGTCGGCACCGACGCATGATGGAGTGGACCCCCTCCTCGACGCATAATGTATGTCTATAGATCTTGAGAAGAAACGCCACTGTAAGGATTCATACAGGATTCGTGAAAAGTTTATAAGCAAGGATAGACGAAAAAAGCAAGGATTCACGTGTGAATGGATGAAGTGATTGGCATCGATAAAACAGAACTCATGTTTCGTTTTGATCTGCATGTAATTAATAACCGAGGTCAAGTGCTTATAGAGTCAGCCAGCTGGCAAGTCGAAATTCATAGGACTGGACAATCAAACTTTCGAAAGAGATTTCCCATAGAGAGAAGCATTTACCTCGATAAGTCTATACTGAGGTTTTCGGAAAAGTGGTGAATTGCCGTGAGAGAAAACGATGCTAAGAAGGGGCGTACGTCAAAAGGCACGATTTTATTGCCAGATGGACACTAATTAGGGCATTTTTAGTGTTTTATGATGTTCTAAGAGCAATTCATATTTCTAACAAGTTATGTATGATTGTCCCATGGGCTGCTCGACCTTATCATCTTGAACTAGATTTAGAAAATAAGTGTTGGGGTCAAAAGCCTGTGAAAAAACACTGTTGACGTTTTCATGAAAATTTCAATCAGGTTTTCACCAAAAACAGCCAAACTTGGCAAGTGGTATATTCAGATAGTCAGTAAGCTAGAGCGTTTTGCCTGGTATCATTTAAAGACTTGAATAGTTTAAATTGGGCTGTTAAGTTGGTGACCTCCACAGAAATCGCGCTTCTTGACCGTCTTCTCATAAGGGGAGTTGCGTTTTCAGATATTCACTACTCTAACTGGAATATATACCTAGCTATAATGAGTAGTTCGTCAGAAAGAAAAACATAGATATACGAGAAAGAGAACTATCGAGACATCACAACAGAGCGAAACTTTTTCATTGTGTGAGCAAAAAACATCAATCGCAAACATTTCTGTAAAGGAATGGAGCACATAAAAAATGGACTGTGTTCTCTTCAAGAGCCTTGCTCTTGAGCATGCGAGTGAGAAAGTGCGAGAGCGGCGAGAAGCCAAAACCAAAAGATGAATGATTTTTATGCATATTACCAGTATCCTGGTAAGAGCATAAACTAAAGAGAGAGGGAAGAGGAGGTGAGTGATGCAAGTAACGATGGAAGAGCACAGAGGTGAAAAAGACTTCCGTTTGAAACTTATGGTGGCAGAGCTGAATGAGAAGCTGTAGCACAACAGAACAGGCACGCCAGGTTACTCAAAAATGTTCAAGCAGAACCAATATGCATAAAGGCTGAACCCTTGGAACTGAAAGAATTTTACATTCGCTAAAAAACAGTCTGCACAGCATACTTTCAGCCTGCTCCACATTGTACGAGAAAACCCCTCCTTACGATGATATGAGAAGCCTAGCACTTAACCATCTGCTCAGCATCTTATGAACTCAATAAGTACTTTTTATGAAAGTGCCTGACAATGCTTTGAACGAAGTCCGTAGACAAGCGCGCACAAATACACTATTATGGCAACGAAGTGCCGAGCGACGAATTGATGGCGTGCCTGCCACGACTCGCTTGAAATGTCGTCGTACGAAAAAATTGTATCTGCGTCTGTTCAAAAAAGTCTCACTGAGGGGTTACATCGCGATTACTGTGAAGTACTGTATTGAACGCTTTATTCTTTTGTCTTTTAGAGAACTCTGGAGTAGATATCGATTATTCTTGCCTCAAAGATTACATTGACACAGTTGGGAGTCGTTGAAATCCAGAGCTTGTTGCATTTCAAAGATTTCTAGCTTGTTCTTTGAAGTGTCCTCGATGACGTATTCAACGAATTCCAGTTTTTTTCTACACATGCCAACGTTTCTATTAACTTCAATGTGTGGAAGGATTTCTTGATTTCAGGTCTTTTGTAATTGTTGCGAATCTCACTTCGCCAACTAAAGTTTTTGCATGGCATTTAGAACCATTTTTGTGAATTTTTAATCTTTGCGTAGCGCGTTTATGACTTCTCCTCTTTTTTCTAAGCAAAATGATTTTTATATGCTCTTAAGAATGTATGATCTGCTGCTCCCTGCCTTCAAAGTCATGTAACATCTGAGAAGATGTTTGCTTTTTCATCAGTCATTCCAGAATTATCTCATTATATGCAATGACCTCACTTACTTATGTTACCTCAATATCTCTGCTAAAATTCATGCTCGCAGTTCAAATTGTATCAAGATCCCGTCAGTTTATACTTTCTTTTTCTGTCAACTTCGAGAGCACCGTTTGAATTGCCTTCAGTCAAATCTTCCTTCACATTGTTTTGCATCTTTGGATGCTTCCGTTTGAATGTAATTTTTAAGAATTTTCAGCCGATGTCGGAACCGGAAACCCGGCTCCCGACACCTGGGCGAGTTCCATCAGGTTCAACTTCTGTTGGTGCACTCCCTCCATTAACATTACCTCCACCTCGCCTTGATCCTCTCGCGGGAATCTCCTCCGTACATCATTCATACGCTTCGCCTAGTCTTGCAACTCAGGTCTAGTTTACAGAAGTTGAAATTTACTCATTTGTAATGTTTGTGGCCAGCTGCGCCACTTCAAGTAGTATTTGTGTAGCGGAAGGAAGCCTGGTAGTAAAAGTTGTTCATTTATTGCTTACTGAAAACGCAGAAATCTCGACAAATTTTTCTATTGCAGCATTTTGGAAGCGATTTCATTACTCAGAACAGCTCATGTCTGATTGTTATCACCGAGCATCTTTTGCTTCAAAGGCATTTTCCCTCCCTAGTTAAGATACTTGAGTCCAGCGCGTTTATCGCTTGATGCAAATTTAAAATTGTAGCAATGTGTTAAAGGTATTTTAGACGATCAAAATCGTTGTGTTTTACCTTCTTCGCAAAATTCTGTCTTTTAGATGATGCCGTCACCTATTCTGCAGTCAGGGATGATGTCGCCAGTGTCGACACAATCGCCTCTCAGCCATCAAATGCTCAGCCCTCAGCAGAAACCCCAAAGTGGTTTGTTTTTCCCCTTTTCTCCGGAGTTCACATCGTCATATTATTCACGGTCGTCAAATTATTCGCTGCATTGCAGTGAATGTGCACCAATAACAAAATGAATTACAGCAGGAATATCACAATAGACAGTATTCAGAAGCAAATGAATGTAGCGAAACAATATCTTGATCCTGTGTATTGTTACAACTGCATTACATGCAAATTTCTACTTGCTGTCCGTAAACAAACAGATTTGTAGTTTATCTACACATCTCTTTCAGATCAATTCTTCTGTATCAGGATTTGTTATCGAGCATATCAGTATGCTGAATCCTTACTTTAACTTTTTTTAGTTCCATCTTCTGGACAACAGCTTCAAGATGTGCGACGGCAAAGTGTAATGCTCCCTCAAGACCAGATGCGGGGACAATTCTCCCACACGGTCACTACAGTGCCTTCAAATAAGAGGCCTAATGAAATGGGCAGACAAATACAAAGTAGGACCGTACTTTTTGTAAACATATACTGATCACTTAGATCTATAGCGACTACAAATTGCTCGATGTGAATGTTATAAAGTTCCAAAACGTAGTCGGAAGTTCAACTCCACAGAAGATTTATTTTCGCGAAAGTTCAACCTGAGTGCTATTATAGTCATGATATTTAGGATCTGGTTCTTTGTTTTGGATGGATAGGAAATGACTCACGATGTTTGAAAATATGTGGAAATCGGACTAAACATGAAATTTACCAGAATGATCGGTTCAAAATTTTTCTAGTAGCTGACTTTATTGCATATACATGCTAGCCACTATTGACTATCATGCGTTCACTGAAAATTCTGATTCTCGTTATTTACGGAAGTCTATCACGACAATTCTACTTCAGGTGTACCAAATTCACCTGCTTCATTGGCGATCTCAACTCCACCTCAGTCTGTACAGGTAATTGTTGAAGGAGTTATGAATAGTAAAAGCTCAGTAGTTTAGGGAGTAAAGTATATTTCATCTTGAGACTATACGCAAGTTGATAAAAAATATGAAGAAGAGAAGGCAACTTGTGTTCCTCGAAGTACTGAAATGAAGTATTATTTGTTGGATAATTACCGGTATGCATGCCTCAAGCAATGGACTAGAAAACTAAGCTTATAGCTGGGGGATTATATGAGAATGTCTCTTTTTTTCGACGTCCTATCTCCGCAGCTGAGCAGCTGATATTCTGAAGCTTTAGCTCAAAAAGTTTGTAGTTTATGAAATCGAGACTTGTTTCATGCTTGAAATAGATTCTTCCATGACAGTTTTGATTTTCCACACTTTTCGCATTTTAGGTGCGTCACAGCAGCTTGGATGCTCAACTTTCTCCGGGATCAAGTAGTGTTGGCAATCCTTCGCCATCGTACTCGAACCATTCGTCGCCTTCCGTCGTTCAGTTACACAATGGGCATGGACCTCCCGTTTGTGCTTACTTGATTTGCAATCTTAGTTATATATAGCTTTTTCTGCTGTAGTGTAATGCATATATCACCTTTGCTCATACGTAATGATCCTTTTCGAAAGTGTCATATAGAACTTTCGTTACCTTTCAGATAGTTTTAGTTTTTGGATTACTAACCGCTTTTCCATGTAGCCTAGTCCATTGTAGTCCATTGTGGATGTCAAAGTCACTGTTCAGGGCTCCTATGTGCAAACTACTATGCATTCTCATCTTGGATCAACATTGACTCGCTACGCATCTTTACCTTCTCAGGATCAGCTGCAACATCATGTCGCTGTTGGATCATTGTCGTCTAGTCCCAACAAACAGGGTTACCAGGTTGCTTTCTCGTCGCATCCAAGTGTTTTTTTTTTTGCGAAGAATATGCAGCGCAACATGCGATAACTTTTTTACAGCATGAGGTTCAGTCAAGACCGGTTCATCAGGTAGCATCGACAATGGCCTCTACCACACAGGTAGTTTTGACATGAATATATAATCAGCATGTTTGATATGAAGCCAACAACGGACCGCGTTCTCGTTCTTTGCTTTACTTTGAGCGCACTGGACCTTGAGAATCCTATGACGATTTTCGACATTTCTTTAGTTTGGCAAGTGCGTGAAAAAAAACTTCTTTTTGTCAAGTTGACAGCTCGAAAAATGTTAGTAGCATTTGGGCTGAATTGTGCCTATATAGTTGCCGAAATTTCTTACTCTGGAAATGTTTACAATCGTTGCGCAAGTTTGTTGCCCATCTAAGAAACCGTTCACGTAATTTTGCCATTGTTGGTGGACTGTAGATGTGTTCATGTGTGGGTGGTTTGCTTTCGTTATAGCTTCCATTGCAGAGAACTGTGCCATCACAGACGCCACAAGGACCTACATTGCTTCAACAGCAACTGAGTACCCGTCCCCCTCGTTCACAGTCGAGTACTGCCATCGTCGGTAGCCAGCCTAATGTAATGATACAACAGCAACCAATACCACAAGTACCATCCTCGCAGCAAAATGGGCAGCAGTCAAAGGTATATTTGAACCTTTTAGCCGGAGCATGTAGAGCACACCTATATGAACGCTATATCAAGTTGAGAGCATGTGGTGATATCTGTCTCCAGAAATTTGCTTTTCGTTTGTCCTCAGTCTAATTGGACTGTTGTAGCCCAGACCAATCCCAAGTCAAGAACCGATGCCTCGTCAGGTTCAGTCTGCATCAAATCAGCAGCAGCATGTGGTTATGGGTCTTCTCCATGGTGCTCAGTTACAGGTATATATCGGCTGTCGAGTAGTGAAAAACTTTCTATAAAATTAAGCCGACCATGTTTAGTTATTTTTTATTTTCAGCAACATCAGGCTGATGGAGGCGCTGTTCAATATGCTGGTGCGAGTGTTTCAAATCCACACGTTCGGCAGGTCGTAGCTAATTATCTCATAGCATGTTTTTCGTAGACTTTTCTTATTTGCAAAATGCACGCATTTGCTCGCCGTGTTAGGTATTTTTGTCACCTAATGCTGAGTAACTGACAGGATCTCATAAGAACTATGCACATATTTGGTCAGACTATGAGCTTGATTGCATATCTGCTTTTTATAGATCTTAGCCAATAGGACATCTCAGTCATTGATGGGACCTAGCTCTTCTGCGCCACAGCAGGTATGTGTCTCTTCCATCTTCACAAGCACATTTTCTTAGAAACCATTAATGAAGCAAGATATCATCTGTACATTTTTTCCATTTGACTTTTATGATTCGCGTCTAATATTTGCATCATCACTTATTTTGAGGAAATTTTAGGTTCTGCAACATTCGCAGCCATCGCCATCACGGATGTCGCCTTCAGTACAGCAGCAGGTAACAGCTGAAATAGAACTCTTCATGTTTTTCCTCATGTTTTTCGTTGGTGGACGGGACGTTTGCTATTTTTTGTTTATGGCAGCAAGCATTACCTCTTCTCAGCTCCTGCAACTGAAACAAAGTTTTTCTTGAGGAAAGAAACACTTTGTGCAGGCATTGTATGATTCCTTGTACTGAACCTTCTTCGGCAGTACCTAAATATAGTCAACAATTTTAGGTCGTCGTTCCGCATGGCATATTGCCTTCTCAGGCGAATTTGCCGCTACGAAGTGTGCTTGCAGCTCAGCAACAGCAGTTGACACAGCAACAGTTGCTTCAGCAACAACGACCGCAGCAGCAACAACTTGCTGGAATACAACAAGCAGCTCCTCAGCAGCAGATTCGATTGGTAAGTCGCATCTTTGCGTGAGAAACTTCCAATGGCACTTTTATGATATTCGCTTTTAGAGTGGCCGCGTTGCTGGCACTGCCTCGGGCGCGCTTGCCACGTTGTATGATGCGGAAAAATCAGCTACTACGTTAACAAACAAGGACGCTTATCGCATCTTGAAGCGACGATTCAAATACCTCGTTTATGTGAGTGCATTCTTCTATCATGTTGATGAGTTTTCAAGAATCCTAGTCACACTTGGAGTAGTACCTATGACATTCATCTCTTAATTTGCTAAGTTTTATTTTTATCCCGTTTATTCGAGTAAACTACTTTCTGTGCAAGTCTAAATGTGCCATTGTTTTACTTATTTCAGGAGAATGAGTGCTATCAAGAGGAGTTAAGAAACCTTCAAAGAAAGCTACTGAAACTCTCAAGGGATAAGAATTTTCTGCTTGATCGTTTGGGGCAATTTGAGAAATTTTCCGACAGTTCTGATGAAGACTCAGACGCCAGCCACAAAACCTGCGACGAAAAACCAAAAACGAAGAAGTGAGTCCTTTGAGTGTATACTAGGTCATCGTGATTATCAACGTTGTAGACGAATTCGCCCTGCTCAACGAAAGCGCGCTGCTGATGAGGGACTAGAAGGATCGAACGCTGTAAAACGGTCTGCCGAAGAAAGTTTAGTGAGCAGTCCCAGTCCATCCGAGTCACCGATAACTGATCCGCGTTCTGGTGCATATCTTGCGACCGGACCTCAGTGCTCCTCTCAGTCATATGTAAGTCGCTTATTGGAAATGCAACTTTTGCAGTTTTCTTTTTTTTCCACACTGCTTTTGCTCTCTGTTTCGCAACAAATTGCATGTATATTTGTACCACGTCTGCATGGTTGGATTATAGAGTTTACGAGCAGCAATGTTGGCATTGGCTAGCTTTCACAGTCCTTCTTTCGTCAAAACTTGACCGTGTGTAGGCTGTGTTATGAGAAACCCATTTGCGACTGTCAGGTGTCGCCTTAATAAAAAAAATTGCTATGTGAGTTCACTCTTGACGCTTCTAGAAACGGTCATTTTTCTGTCGGAGGAAGAACTCTGAAATTATAAAGCTGTAGCTCACAATGCGAGGCTTGATCCCTATGTGGTTGCTATCGGCTGCCGTCTCGCTTGAACACCCTTAGCGTTTATTTTTCAAAATGCAAGATTGGGGTAGTAAGGGGAGAGGGATGGGGTTGCTGATAAGTAATTTTCTCGCTTCGGCACCATACTGTGCAATCGCACTCACCGGCGATGTCAAACATCTACCACACATTTTTGACCATGTGAATGTAATCGCTTCATGCAAAGATTGTAAGAGAATTATAGTTCGGCGCTTGTGAGCAGCTTACTTTGCTACTGCACCTGAAGATTGATTTTTGCGACTTGATTATGGAAGAGCTGTAATCTCTCTATCTGATGCTCTGTATATCACACTTCTTGTTTCAGAGGCAGCTTTTGAACGCTGCCAGTTCATCGTCATATGAAAGAATGCAAGTGCAAGCTCCACCAACGATGAATAACCCACCATTTGTTCTTTCCCATGGTCAGAACGTACTCCAGATGGGAACTTCCGGCACACAGCCGCAACAGCAGCAAATTTTGCGTTCTACTCTAGCACGTGTGGTTCCTTCAACAATGCTTGCGCAGCAGCCTCACTCTTCTCAGTCATATACCTCATCGAATCGGCTTCTTGCTGACACGAGGCCAATAGTGGCCAAAGTCCGAGGTAGCTCCTTTGTTTCGAACTATGTTGCTCGGTCTTATCGTGAGTCTTGCAGTTGAAACACCGCTAGCTGGCATGGCTAGTTCATACCAAGGCGAACAGATGAAACAGACGCCGTTACATAGAGCACTTTCGAAAGCTCCTACAATTGCACAGACCAGATCGATGGAATTTTCGCATCCACAGCAGGAGATGCTTGCCAACAATCCAGTGAACGGCGACAATTACACAGGTATCGCGTATAAATATTTCTTCTCCTGCTTTAGGTGCATAGCTTCATGCAGAACATGTGTATATTTAATTTTACAGCATCGACTACTAGTGCGCTAGGACCGCCAATGACCATGGCTCCATCGCCCATCGAAACAAATGCTTCTGTGCCATCAGGTGCCAATTTTTTGCCTTTGTCCAAGCGATTTTTGTTTCCGTTGATTGGGTAAAAATTCACACACAGCGCCTATCGTTGTGCTAGAATGAGCATGAATAAATCGAACATTTCCCCTCTCTTTGCAGAAAGAGGGAAGAGGGTGAGGGTCAAGAGTATCAACAAGCTTTGCAAAATTCTAAATCATTCTTTGTGCAGCAAAGTTAGCCTAACCGACAGTCCGTTTCGGCTGATAGAATTTCGTATTTTGTGTCTGATTAATCGGTTGTGAAAGCAAGACTATTTACAAGTTTGCTACTTCTTTAGTAACTGCGTTTGATGAACTTTTATGCTTCAGTTGCAGTATCGTCGCTCTCCTCTTCCCTGATAAATGGACTGATGCCTGATGCTAGTGGTTATGTTGAGAAGAAGGAAGAGAAATGCTCCACTGCCATTATTTCACCGGCCACGTCTCAGCATCGGTGACTACTGACTCGATTCGCTTTATATCGCCTTTTGACTCATGTAAGGCCAGTATTACATATCTCCTGTTGAAACTGATAGAAATTCACCGAAAATTTGCCATGGGTGTGTTCTAGTCTCAATTTTAGTTGTGCGTTATCCCAGTCACTGTTAGGGTAGCACACTCTTGTTGTACTGTCTCATATTTGAATTTTGGCATATTTTTACATGTTGATTTTTGACATGTTGCATTAAATCCCGGTACTATTGATCGTATATAATCTGTTCGCTCAAGAAATTGATCTCTGTGAGATCTTGTGATTTTGGTTTTTTCTTGCATCATCAAGTTACACAGCATGAAAGTCTTAATCCATCTAATGTCTTACTCTATTTTACTAATACAATAGTTCATACAGGTAGTCTTTTTCATTATCCTGAAATGCATTTTCTAACCAGCAAATGTTTTGTTAACATAATTAAGCCGTGGTGTAGTGTTTGATCTCCTAGTTCTTTACTCTTTATGTTTTTTTTTACTGTACACAGCTGTGTCTATTGGTCTACGGTTCACTTACTGAAAATGTTCTCATCGCTTTCAAAAGTATGTAACATGTTGTTGACTTTTGTGTTGCAACTGCCTCTTACGGTTGTGTGTAATGAGTACCGATTATTATGTCGTTGTTACTGATTGATTACCGTGTATACGGTGAATATCTCAATCTTTCTAAGGAAGAGGTAGAACTTTGTGATAGTTCCGAAAGGCAGCAGTGCAGACGAGAAAGTGTCAGGAAGAAATGAAAAGGCATATTGGCAAGCGTTAGGCATTAGAAATTGGTCTGAAGGTGCTGATGCAGATCAGTAGCCATCCGCACTAACTCAAACATCAGGAAAAGTGATCCATCAGGTGATGGCTGGTTTGCTCTGGAGAGCGCTGGCATTCATAATCGTTCTTTTTTGGTAGTCAAAACCCGAGTTCATTGAATATCGCTCATCTGCTCTACGTGAAAATGTATCGGCCAACACTTTCTCGCAAAAAGTTTGTCGATTGCTGCTCTGTGAAGCTTTGCTTTTATTGCGTTCTTGACGGGAATTTTTCTGTATGATTTTGGTTTCAGTTGGCTAGATTACTACTTACGGGTCATAGTGCACAAAAAATGGCCACTTCGCCTACAACAAAGATCCCCGATATGTTTGTACGTGCCCTCAAAAGGAAAGCCGATGCAACAACCACCACCAGTCTAGTCGTTGAATGTGAAAAGAAATCAAAGATAGTGCAGGTTGAGGTAAGGCTTTCTCTGTATTATGGTTACTTTTTCAAGTTCTCAAATTGCACGAGGTAAACTCAGCAATTATTCAATCGCTGGCATCTAAATTCCATTCCATTGTTGCCTACGCTGAGAACTACCATCAGTTATGAAATGTTATCAGTGGCTCTAATGACGAACATCGTTGATTCTTATCTGTTCATTCCGCTGAAGGAATCAACTGCGCTTGTTCGTCTCTCTCAATTTTATTTTCTCCAGTATGCCGGATTTAGGGAAATGATGACATCAAAGGTATAGCGGTGATGCTTGAATAAGCGCGTTCTGAAAATATGGTAGAAAAAAAAAACAGCGTTCTTGACCAAGCTTGGATAGCCTTGTCGAAATAAAACAAATATGCCAAGCTGCACCGTTTGCAGCTCAGAGTAAAACGATTTAATAGATAGTCTATACATCAGTTTCTTACAGGTCCCTGACGAAAATGTGGCCACCAGCAGAACTGGTTTCTGCCTCTTCAATCTGTTGACGGATAAGAAATGGCGCGAAATCTTGAGGGGAGAGTTTAGCATGAAGTATATGCAAGGAGTTGAAGAATTTCTTCGTAGCCAGTATGCCAAGGTTAGCACCACTTGAAAACATCATCTGAGTTGATCCACAACTGTTCAGAATGTGCCTATCTTTCCACCTCGTGAAGAAATCTTTTCTGCATTCAATCTGACATCACTAGATAGTGTTCGTGTGGTCATCATCGGTCAAGATCCCTATCATGGTGTCGGACAAGTGCGTACATCTTTAGGAAGTAATTAATGGATATAACCTGTTTTTTAGGCACATGGGCTTTGCTTCTCAGTGAAGATGGGTGTTCCTCCACCTCCATCTCTAAAAAACATATATAAGGTTTTCGCCTTTTCATTGTATTGGTAATTCTAGTGAAGCGTAATGATGTTTTTGAGGAACTCAGTGCAGACATTCCTGGATTTGTGATTCCTAATCACGGCTTCCTGCAGAACTGGGCTACTCAAGGTGTCTTTATGCTTAACGCTACTCTTACGGTCGAGTGAGTTTTCATTTCTAGTTTTGTTAATTTGCTCCACATGTTCCTTTAGATCTGGAAAGGCAAACTCGCATGAAAAAATTGGCTGGCAAAAGTTTACGGACAGGGTCATCTCACTGATCTCATCAAGGACTGAGGGTGTCGTATTTTTATTATGGGGAGGATTTGCCCAAAAGAAGGCTGCCCTTATCGACATGAAAAAACATTCCGTTATCAAGGTATGCTAGGCATACTGAAGTCTATATGTTAGTTTGCATTGTCACAATTCAGACCGCTCATCCTTCCCCGCTGAGCGCTACAAAATGGTTTGGCTGCAGATGCTTCTCGAAGACAAATGCAGAGCTAGTTCGCATGGGTCGTGAGCCGATCGACTGGGCAGTGTTGTGAGGTTACATTATTGTTGCTATACACGTCGTTTACTTTACTTAATTTTGATTCGCATTCCTTTTTTTCATGACTTGGTCACATAACCTTCCATGATAGAAGTATATCACTGTGTAGTAATCATTTATTTTGATCTATAAATCCTACTCAAACCTCTAAAGGCAAGCTTTAGGTACAATTCATGAAGTTTTATGTGTTGTTCTCTTGGGTATATTATTTCACATTCGAATATATGTCTTGCTTTGTTTCAAACAGGTGATCTTACTTGTATCTCGTTTACGTGTACTTTGCGAAGTTGTTGGCATTTTTCTATTTACTCTGGATTATATGTAATAAAGAAGTGCACACTAATATACTTCACGTCTTTTCCTGTGTAATATCACTCCTTTCTATTGCCCTTATATGTTTATCGTTTGGATAATGCATGGTTACTGGTTCCAGAAATGGGATCCGTGGCGGCATCCGCTACAGGACGGCCACTTATAAGTCGGCGCCTCTTCTGCTGTAATGAATGTCATCGAAAATTCAAAAATAAGGCATAGTTTATTTTCTATCGTCTTTTTCAATGAAACGATAGGAGTTACTAATTTTTAAGTATGAATCAAAAATATCAAACATGGTGGTCTAACCGGACTTCGAGCATGAAAATTGTTTGCCATAAGTTTCTCAAGCCCTCAGCGGTCTCATGCATCGCAGTTCCCAGGCGGTTTTAGCCGTATTTTGTCATACATACACAGTCTTATGGAGATTCGAATTTGCAGTACTGGAGTTGAAAAACTTCGTCTGTAGGAGTCGCTTGATATCTGCTGCTGAAATCTGCTTTTGGAACATAAAGGCAGAAAGTTGTACATAAGCCATGTAACATCCTTGATATGTGAGGCACTTCTATGCAAAAACGACCATTTTGCACCTTAATCTTTCGAATTTACAGTCTTAGGCAGTGCGATTTCCGTGTCTTGCGGCGTGTACGTAAATAGACTTAGTCCTCAAACAGATTTCAGCAGCGCTACATTTTACACTACAATTCTCTGTGATTGTTGCTATCTTTGTTCAGGAAGAATTGTTTCTCCATGCCGAAGCTTGCATAATGGAGGCATTCGAAAGTGAAGTGATCGCAGCTTTCAATGATTCTCCTCTTCCTGCACTTCGAACATCACACGTGAGCGACTTGGCAGCCAATGCTCCATCAATCGCGAGTCCAAGCGCAGGAGGTATAACTGTTAAGGCGAGTATCACGCATCTATATCAGCTTCTTTGAATTCATGATGCTGTTTCCTGTGGTGATATTGTTCTTCAGAGATCAGATGCTGTTGAACGAGAGGAATTCGTGACCCTGAAAGTGGGCGAAGAACAGCCAAGAAGTGATGAAACGGCTGATAGAAATTCTTTGCACACTTCGAGGGAGCCTCCCCATCCTAGACCAATCACTTACGGCAGGTTTGATTCTTTTTCTTATTTGATGCTTGCATATGTTTTGTTTACAGTCGAAATGATGACATAAGCCATGCTCAAACCATCGAAGGGCCAAATGGTTTGAAACTCGTTGTCACTGTAGAGAAGCCTGAGGTGCGCATTGACATAATTTTCTTGTATAGTCCGCTTCAAATATACTTTAAGGCAACTGACACTCCACCCACATTGAATCCAGAAGAAACAGTGAACACGGAAACTTTGGAAAGGGAAACCAACTCTTCAGAATTAGATAGTATTTGGAGTGATGGAGACGACGCACACTTCGACTCTCAAGGAACTTCTGATAGAGATCAGGGTACTCTTAGCATCAGTCGTCTATCACAAAGCCACAGTTTAAACTTTTCCAGTACCTGGCACTTCTTTCAATCCCATCAAGAAACCTCAAGTGATTGGGGCTCTTGCAAATGCGAACGATGATCCTTACAAGCCAAAAATGGAATGTCCTACATGTGGATTGGTAAGCAACATAATACTCTATGGTTACTCTAATCTTGTTTTTTTCTTATAGGTCCTGTATCGGCATAATTTTTCCACGCATTATAGAATCCATACTGGAGAGCTACCTTTTTACTGCGAATTTTGCCCCAAACGATTTAGGTGAGCTCCTTTTCTAAAAATTTGGCAAAACTTCTTCTCGACTCTTTAGGAACTTTTTTGCAGAACTACATCTTCGCTGAAAGTTCATGTCAGGGCCCACACAGGAGAAAAGCCATACATCTGTCCCTTGTGTGGATATTCAACCATCACCAAACGTAATTTAGACCGACACATAGAGAATCACCACGTGAGGCTGGGAGGCTCGCGAGGTCCAGCAACTAGGAAAAGCAGGTAAAATCTTAGCTTTGAACTACTCCTAAATATATTTGGCTGATTTTTCTTACTTGGGGTTCTAGCAGTCCAGCACACTAGAATGTACGACAGTTTTCACAGGCCCCAATAAAACTTTTAGATATCGAGAAAATGTTGAGACTGAATGGTTGGAAGACATGAGGTCGCATACAGAACCCCATTATGAGCAGAATCATGGAAATATTGAGGTTTGTAGATGGCATTTCTACAGGATGGACTCATAGTAACTCAGCTCTCTAGGAGCACGATAATTGGGATCAACGACCTCAAATCGAACTCGTCCACGAAACCAATCCATCATAATAATAATGATAGGCGTAATGATAGGCAACTATTGTATGTATCTCTTATAAGCTATAATAGCGTCATTATGTGTATGTAATAAATAAACGAATGACTGTTTTTTTATGTCATCTGGACGGTGTACTTCGCTTCCATATACCCTGCTTTGTGAATCCATGAACCTGTAGGACCGCCTTTTTCAGCAGCACGTCTACTGCATGAGACGCGTGTTGTGTGTGGCTGAGAAAAATGATGTGGCGAAAGGAGTCGCTGCTATCCTATCAAAAGGTATGCTGTGCGCTCACTAGCCTTGACCAGTGAAGCGAAGAAAAATTCCGAGCTCATTCTTCTAAAGCATTACATAGCCGTGCCGCGCTAGTGAGCACGTATAAGCATTTCCGAGGGTATCTATGGGGGAATTCTAGGAGAACTGTGTCGTACTCGTAAAGCATTATTCCTTCTTGTGGGCAAATACGTTTGCATGAGGTAAATCACATTGTAGTGGATATTCAGGATTTTGCTTTAGTTGAACGTCTTGAGATCCGATAGGGATGAGCTGTGGTACCAACATCACTTATGTGTATAGCTAGTAGCTTCCTAAGCTCCACATAGTAGCTTTATCATCTCCACGATACACTCTTAATACGTTGGAAGAATCCCTACAAATAGCGCTGAACTCTTGAAACAGTGCAGATACAGGATTTTAAAGGCAGGAACGTACAGTGCTGGCCATAGCCATAAAGCCACCCTAAAAATCACTGTAATTTGCTCTCTCTTGCTTACAATTATCTAAAAAACCACTATTCTGTGTGCAAACTAACGTCATATCACTGACCAGAAGGGCTCCCGATTTCATTGATTTTGGCCGGAGAAAAATTGAAAAATTTGGAAAAAATGGGTTCCCAAGGCTGGTCACAGCTATAAAGCCACCTCTCATTTCTAATCAGTACTACGTTTTTTGAACCTGAAGTTTTTTGTACATATACAATATCAAAGTATAAAACTTTACCACACTTGGAAGCAGTCGCTTTTTCAAAAAGAAGATTCATCCTGCATTTTTTGCTCTATAATGCATAAAAAGTCACATTGTTCTAACGCTTTTTCACTGGATTTTGAAGCACTTGTTCGACTCGGATAAAGGTCCTGGGCTTCACCTAGCCTTTGCAATGACTACAGTGAAAAACGCTTGAGTCAACATGGCGTAGTCGCTGATATTGATAAACGAGCCCCAACCTCACCTCCAGGTAGACGAGTTTTCGAACCGCAAAAATTGAGTTCTAATGCCCGAAAAGCTCTGTCACGTGCTCAGCACGTCGCCTGTACGACGATGGACTCGTGCGCATAGCTTGAACGTCATCGCAACTCTCAGGATTTTGGTTCCGCCTTAAACGCCTTTTTTCCAAAAATAAGTGGTGCACTCTGCCTGATCGTGACACATTCTGACCTATCGATCGAGCGGAAAACCGCTCAAAACTTCAAAACTCTAGTATTCCTGACAGTTTTGTAGGATCTGACTTGAAGAGGAGTTCAAAGCAGTAATTTGAAGTCATGTGAGATACACTGCGCACAACCGAACTGCAGACAAAGCGTTCTAAGTTCAATGCTGCAAATACGTCTTTGTAAAAAGCCTGACAGCTTCTGCATGAGTACGTCACCATGCAAACAATGTGTCAACTTTCAACCGAAAATTTTAGCGCGTCAGAAATCGAGATTTGCGCTTCAGAAGTGCGCTTACACCTAGGTAAGATTGAGCTTCGTTCATCAATACTAGCGACTACGCCATGTTGACTCAAGCGCTTTTCACCGTAGTCATTGCAAAGGCTCGGCGAAGCCTAGGACCTTCATTTGAGTCAAACAAATGCTTGAGAATTCTGTGAAAAGGCAGTTTTCCAAACATTATAACTTTTTATACAGAAGCAAAAAATGCAGGATAAATTTTCTTTTTGAAAAGGCGACTGCTTGCAAGTGTAACAAATGTCTCATATTTTGATGTTGTATATGTACAAAAAACTTCAGGTTCAAAAAACGTAGTACTGATTAGAAATGAGAGGTGGCTTTATAGCTGTGACCAGCCTTGGGAACCCGTTTTTTCCAATTTTTCAATTTTTATCCGGCCAAAATCAATGAAATCGGGAGCCCTTCTGGTCAGTGATATGACGTTAGTTTGCACACAGAATAGAGGTTTTTTAGATAATTGTAAGCAAGAGAGAGCAAATTACAGCTTTTAGGGTGGCTTAATGGCTATGGCCAGCACTGTATAGGTCATTTCTGAAGTCGTGACGACGAGTTTGACTGCGGTTTTTGCGCAAACAGGAGCTAACAACACTTATACGAACACGCATCACCTCATCGTTCAGCTCAGTCACTTCCGTGGCTGGATACTATCATATGTAAGCAGAAAAACCGTTCGAGCAGAGATAGAAAACACAAAAATGCGGTTGAGGGGATGCGCGTGTGTGGCGCGCGGGGCGTCGTCGTCACTATTTTCCGAATGCCCTATATCCGTTTGATCTACGAGGCATCAAATTGTAATGAAGATACTGACAATGGAAGCTACCTAACTTAGCTCGGCCTTTTGGCAAGGGACAATATAGTCTGAATCAGCTTAGAACGCTGATTTCAAATTTGCTATTTCTAGCTGCCATGCAGCATTCCGAAGCGAGTTGCGGGCTTTTTCCTGTGCAAAATTGGCATGCTCATCGACTCGCGGGCATCGCATCATCATCATTCAAGTGCTGATACACCTGTTTAAGCTTTTTTAGTGAGAAAAGATTGAATTTGTGCTATTTCGATACCTCAGCGCCTTTTTCTTGCAGATTTTTATCTACAGGCAGTCTTCTCATGTTCAGTAGTATGCCATTTTTGCGTAGAAAAAAGCCCGGAGCTCGCTTCGGAATAATGCGTGGCAGCTAGGAATAGCATATTTGGAATCAACGTTTGAAGCTGATTCAGAATATATATGCCTTTTACCAAAAGGCCGAGCTAAGTTAGGTAGCTTTCCTTATGAGTATATCTCTTCAGGGATTTTTTTACTTAATTCTGTGAATTAATTGATATGAAGGGCAGAAGTGTTTGGTTACTTGTTGTTGCATCGTTTAGTGCACCAGAAATAGCAGGTCGCGCTATAGCTAAGCTGAAGTATTCTATCCTAAATGCTTCCCTTCTCCCGCGGCCCTCCCATCCCCTTTCCACTGAAGGGTTCGATACTAAATTCTTTGCCGTTGTCACCCGTTTACCGATGTTACCGCTGCTATCGCGGTTGATAATTTTTCGTAGGCGATCTCGCCGGTAGATGACTTTGTCTTTCACGTTAGTGATAGCAGGGGAACGTAGTCATCTACGGGAAGGTTCGCGTACGACCTCTTAACAACGGTAACGACAGAGACACCGGTAACAGCACTAGGTATGGGCAAACCCATTGCTGCAAATTCAGTTGATATTTCTTTGTTGGCACTTGTGGACTGGCTCTAAGGAGGGGGGTTGAATCATAACAGCAGCTTCATTTCGTTTAGGTCAAATGGCTCGGCGTGAAGGACGATCGGTTTATAACAAAATATACAGCTTGACGGCTCAAATCCTCGGGCAAGTAAGAAATCGGTATTATCTACCTGCCGCAACATCATCTACACGATTACAGGATGCAACGCTATCGGTTACCAGTGTATCAGGACATCTTATGGAACATTGCTTTGGACCCGACATGAAGAACTGGGTGGTAGGGTTGCTTTTGTGGTGTCTTTGCTGAACAGCATTTTGTATCCTTTTCCTAGACGGTTCCGATGCGCACGCTCTTTGACGCCCCTATCTACAAATTGGTGCCTGAGGGAATGAAGAATATCGCCAGAACTTTGGTGTCGGTCAGATTGCTTTTAGCCTTACTAGTAAATTATCTTGATGGTTAAAGGGAGGAGGCAGCAAAATGTGACGTTCTTGTGATATGGACTGATTGTGACAGAGAAGGCGAAAGCATTGGCGCGGAAATAGCGAAAGTTTGCTCGGAAAGTAATCCTCGAATTGACGTGTATCGTGCGAAGTAAGTTTTCAGTAACAGTAAAAATTGTATTGTCAAGTTTTTTCCATCACTGCTTCTTTTGTCCAATTTCATCTCCCTTACGCTTCCTTGTGCTTATGTCTTTGCAACATCTGAGCCCTGTGAATTCAAAAAAAAAAAACTCTTCCGCTTCTTTTTCACTCTCAAGTCTAATCACTGATATGTGCATCCTCGCACGCAAAAACAGGAATGCTCCCTCATTTTTCTAACCGTCCGCTTTCTCTTTCTAAAACGCGGTATCTTGATCGGACGCAACGGCGTCCACTCTTTGCGTGCGACCATTTCCCTATACACGGTTGTATGTCTCTCTCTACATATTGTGCGTCGCATACTTCTCGTCCTTACTTTTCATAAGTGTGCACTCGCCTTCCGTTCATCTACTACAGGCAAATGTCTGTCCTTTGTTTATGTCTCCCAAAAAAAACTTCTTGCCAGATTGTTCCGGCATTCCTTTTGTCGTCCTGTTCTGTCGTCGTTCTCCTTGCCATCGAAGGGCTAGAAGAGAGTATGACTAGCGCTATCGGTATTTCCTTCCGCCTCGTAGTCAGGGGTGCTTGCGAAGACCATTTTTTTGTTCATTGTGCGACACCTCGTTGCGTTGGTCGTGTACCCATTGCCTTAATCAGTAACGACATCATTAAGATCACCGGTCATGAATGTTTTTTGCGCTGCATCTACAGAACAAAAACGAATGTCTCCAAGCTTTACGAGATGCTGCAAAGCACTGAATATGCCATTTTTGCAGATAACGATGTTAGCGTTTGCACCTCATATTCATGGAGGGCAGCCTGAAAGAAGTCAAAGAAATTGGCATTGTTTCAGTTTTCTCCTGTGAACTATTGCTACTGGCCGTACCGCCTTTCTTTCCCTCAGATGACAATCAGTGCAATAAAATTTCTCCTTAGTGGCATATACGTTGGAGTTCGTGCGCTCGATATTATGGAAGACAACGTCCGCGTGGAGAACATGGGAAAGAAGCATAAAGGCAAACGTCTTGCTCTTTTCTCTGTGGCGTGGATTCTGGGAAGCTCCACTTTCGGTAGTAGAAGCAACTTATGGACATCGGACCTCTCAAAGAACATTTCTGGATGGCGAATTAATGCGGTTCAGAAAACGACTTACTCTAAGCAAAAAGTTCTTAGCTTGAACTAAAAAAACATGCCATTTTGTTCCAGGGTATACTCGACTTCCAAGGCTATAGGTAAAGGAATGGAAAAATCTCGCGTAAATTATCGGTTTTTGGAGAAATGCGAAAGGACGACAAAACGGCTCACAAAAATGCAAAATTTTTGTGTGATAGTGGGAGCGATTGCATTGAAATATTTTGCCTTGAAGGAATATTGGGGGGGGGGGGGGGGAGAGACTGTGAAAATAGTAGTTTGTCGACAGCAGCTGAGGAAATACGTAAACGCATTTTTCCACTACAGTACCCGCGCCGTTCCCTGCAAAACGCACTCATAGACCGATGATAGCTTCTCAAGCAAATTTTAAAGGCAGGTTCCGAGCAAAATTTCGAATGGAATTTTCTTCGCTTAATTGGATTCCTCCCACTGGTTCTGAAAATGCAGCTTGGAGGGCACGAAAACGCCAAAAACGAGCTTTTCCAGAAGTTCTTGAGTTGAATTTTGTCGACTGCCGCCGGTTAAGACGCAGAGTCTTTGTGGGACCCTACGTCTTGACTGGGTGCGGAATGCGCACTCTGGCTTATCGAACTAACTCGTCCCGGTCGCCTCTTCTGAAGCGGATTTCTCGCTTCAGAAGCGAATTGGTGCATTGCCAGTTAAGCAAGAGCCTTACCAGGACGGGCGCCCCTGTACTGTACTGTACCCGCCCATTTTCGTATCTGCCCGGACGCTGTGCTACTCCACAACTCGCCGTTTGGCCGTTCTGGGGTCGTTTTAGATTCCTATAGTTGGACTCATACCCACTGAACTGACCAACGCTTGATACGCACATGAGGTGTCTTTTTCTGCGAAAAGCTGACACAGAAAAGCATAAAAATGGGATTGAATAGAGTGCTGTCACCTGTCTTTGCAGATTTTCGGAAATCACTCCGCGAGCCATCGATCATGCTGCTAGAAATCTTGGTCGTCTTGATCAGAAGACCATCGATGCTGTAGACTGCAGATCCGAACTAGATCTACGCATAGGTATGGTCCACAAAAGCTTGTTAAAATTTTTTTTTACTGTGCTGTGTACAGGTGCGGCTTTCACCCGTCTACAGACTCTACATTTGCAGCAGAAATTTGCACATATACTTAATGTAGATGGTCAGTTTTTTAAGCCTTCAGTACCTGCAAATAAGATCGTGGCGTTTAGGAAAGCAGGTTGTCAGCTATGGATCATGCCAGTTCCCTACACTTGGTTTCGTTGTCGAGAGATACAAGGCCATAGAAAGGTTCATATCCGAAACCTATTGGAAGCTTGTGGTGAACCATAGGAGAGGGGATTACAAGGTGGCTAAGGACTACATTGGCCGTCAAAATTACATGTTTGTCATTTTAGGCAGAGTTTACTTGGGATCGTGTTAGGCTGTTTGACCAAGACATTGTGCAGGTGAGCAGTGCTACTTCAAGTCGAATTTTTTTTGGATTATTGGGCACGCAAGTGAATAAGGTCTTTCAAATTTTAACCATTTCATGTCTGAAAAAAATTTGATTGCAATTGCAGCAGTAGTTTATCTGCGAAAATAGATCGCGAAAGCTCTAACGGCTCTGATCTTCCAACCAAGAGCTCATAGAATTGCTTCAGATCTTGTACGATGATTGCGTGGAAGCTGGGCAAGCGAAAGTAGAGACGGTTACCCGCAAGCCAAAGAGCAAATATAGACCGCAGGTGAGTTTATCTTAAGACTCAGGATCAGCCCTCATAGTGATCTTTCAGGCTTTGGATACGGTAGAGCTGGAGAAGTTGGCTGTTCGGAAATTAAAGATGAGTGCAAAACACGCTATGGACATTGCCGAACGACTGTACAATAAAGGGTACATCTCATATCCGAGGTTAGGAGGCGTTGATTTGGGTTTTGTACCGGTATACTTCACTGAGAACTCCTGTTGAAGAATTCATAAAGGAACCAACCTTCCGGAGGAATGCGCTGATAGAAGAAAGTGTAGATATCATCAAAAGTTATATTAGTGTAAGATGAGGATCTGCTAAGAGCTGTATGAAGTTGAAGATTTGATGGATTGAATCAACTCGGTCCTTTTGCACCATGTACCGTAGTACCATTCCTTCTCCACCCTTCCCTCACTCTCTCAAAATAAGAATCTCTTGTAAAAGATAAGCACTGGTTTGTGTAATAAACAATGTTGCTTTCTTTCCCAGAACTGAGACAAATAAGTTTCCACCCGACATCAATCTGTCATCTTTGCTCAACAAATTGACAAGTTCTGCTCAATGGGGGGATTTTGCCAATGAGGTGAGTGCTGCTTGACAAATTCTGTATCTTTGTGATTTACATATACAGGTCTTGGAGCATGGTCCAAATCCACGAAATGGCACAAAAAGTGATGAAGCGCATCCACCTATCCACCCTTTGAAACATGTTGCGGAGTAGGTTTTTATTCGTTGTTTTCTATATCGTCAATAGAATTTTGGATAAACGGGCCTTCTTTCGTGGATAGTGATTGGGAGGCTTTAGCTTAACCATTTCCCAAATCGCACCTCGTATGACTCTTTCGTGTCTGAGGAATTCAGCTCTAATTTCCGACCCAGACCGTAATTTTTCCAAGCAGTAGCGCCCATTTATTTGAAGTATAGTCTGGACTGAGTTCAAAGCTGAATATCTCGGCGACGAATGAATCGTATGAAGTGCTACGGGCAATGGCTTGTAAAGACCCGAAATCAAGCTAAAAGAATTTTACGTGACCAGATTTGCCTCTAGTTGATATGAACAGAGCGCAGCTTTTAGCGGATCCTTGCAAGGAGACGACTGGAGAGTGTACGAACTAATCGTAAGACACTTCCTAGCCTGTCTGTCATGGGATGCTAAGGGTCAGGAGACACGCGTCGGGGTTAGTCAATTCCTTTGAAGTAGGGTTAGATGTGATTAAATAAAAATGATTTAGCTGAGAGTCGGAGGTGAAATGTTCCACGCCACTGGACTGTGCATTCAAGATCTAGGTAAATGAGTTTAGAACTTTCCTAAAAAGAAGTTATGTAAAGTTTTTAGGGTATCTCAGAGTTTATCCTTATGAGCGCTGGAGCGATAAGACGCTGCCAGCTTATATCGAAGGTGAACAGTTGCACGATTACCAGCTACGTATCGCTGATGGTCAAACGCAACCACCTGAGCTGTTGAACGAAGGTAATATTGTGGAAGTTCTAGATTTTGTCAAAAGTTTATATCTCAGCTGATCTGATTGCGCTTATGGACAAGTACGGTATTGGAACGGACGCAACTCACGCCGAACACATCGAAAAAATCAAGGTTGATTATCGGTCCTGCAGAATTTGTTGGGTAACAGATTACTGTTCCAGACAAGGCAATATGTTGGTGTACGCGACGATGGGCGTTTCATTCCCGGCTATCTGGGACTTGCTCTTGTTGATGGATACGATGCTATGGGTACAGTAGTCTTTTCAAGTTACCAGTCATAATTTTGAATAGCAAATTTAGGTTACGCCATGAGCAAACCTCAGCTCCGGGCGAATCTGGAACTGCAACTGCAAGCGATTTGTGCAGGACAGCGAACTAAGCAGGAGGTAAATTTTGTGTCGGAGAGAAAATGCAGAGCTTTAAGCATTGAGATTTAGTGCGGAAAACAGGACATAGTGCAAGAATTGGTAGGATAACCAATAAATATTAGGCTGGAAACTAAGTTTTGCAACTCGTCTCATAACTCCACTCTCTTTGGATATGAAGCTCTCAAACTTTGGCGTTATGTAGAAGGCAATGTGGGCTACAAGTGAGCACAAGTTGTCTAGATTTTGACATGAAATAGAAAAGTTTCAAGCGTTTTTCGAGAACTAGTGAAATTTGAGAATTTTTGGGGTTCAAAGCTAAAATGAAGCCTTTGGCAGCCTAGACCATGCGCAGAAATCCGGATTCGTCTATAAATTATTGCTGGAGGTTGTCTCCTTTGGCCTATTAAGAAAGAAACAAAATTTAATGACATGTCGAGATTTGGCGTCCTCATAAAGTCGAACGAGTCGATGTACGCAAGAGCTGTTGGGGACGACCGTCAATGACTAAAGAGTCCGAAGCTCAAATTCCGCCGAGACTTTGCATAGTAAGGTTATTTGACCTGCCAAACGCGAATATCACATTCATTTGTTGGATCAACGCCATTTTCCTTGTTTAGGGTGAGACCCCATATCGTACACCTACAGTAATTCTACAAAAAGCCCTTATCACACAATTTCACTATCGTTTTCGTGATCAGCATGTCGGATAACACCTCTGTGCCAAGTTTCAGCCAAGTCCGTCAAACTTTGAATTTTTCCCCTTCATACCATGCATCTACCGTAACCCTCACTGCGACGTCAGAATTTGATAGGACAGCAGCTGCGCTTGTAGCTTACGTAATAACCAATGCAGTGGCAAAATTTGAGTGCGCCATGTTGAGTGGGAGGGAAGTTATGAGACCAGTTGCAAAACTTAGTTTCCAACCTAATATTATATCTTCGATACAATGTCTTTTAGTTTTGAAAAGAAAATTCAGGATTGCTAGGAAACGACAGATTTCGCGAAAACAATTTTGCAGGGCAGTGATTGGTTTTGAAAACACTTTTCTTGCTCAGACTCACTTCTCACATCTCATAAAAAGCGTGTGAAAAAAGGATGATTAGACGATCACATTGGCTTTGGAAAATTGGCTTTCATCTTGTTGTTTCTTACTTGCCCTGGGTACTTTAGGTGCTGAACGAGCAACTGGAGAAGTACCGACGGATCTTCATCAAGACAGAGGAGAAAGTAAATTTGCTGTCCGAGGCGTTGACGCGGTAAGCAAACTTTGCATATTTGCGTTCTGATTTTCTGCAAGTAGGGAGGATTTTCGACTTTTTAGTGACTAGAAAAAAAGTGACGCTCTTTTTTGCTTATCTGTGAGCCAAGACCATGTCCAGTTTTTCTATCCATGAGAGTGGACGTTCACAGAATGGAAGATAGATTGACTTTCTCCGTAGATTGTAAAGTAAATACGAATTCATTCTGGAAAGGGGAAGTAGATAGTTTTGTGCTCACTGCGTCGGATAAACCAAGGCTCTTAAATAATCGAAATGATTCTATTTTAAGGTACCTTAATTCAAATTCTAATGGAATATCTGCCACGGCAAATGGTGCAAGACCAGCACAAGGCAGGCGTGGTGCTGCTCAGGGATCTAGAAGGGGCAGAGGACAGGGAAGAGGCGATCCTCAAGTCAGTTCTATCTCTTATCCAGAGAAGCGACGAAATTCGCAAAATTTGCCGGTGTGGCTGCCGACCATAGACTTGCGAAATTTTTCAAAAGCAAAGAAGTTTCCCAGTAGGCGTTTGTGATTCTGTGGGAGGCACCAACTCTTAGGATACAACTTTGCATAAATCAACGTTGCCACAGTTCGAGTGGAGATCTAGGTTCAGAGCAGAACTGAGATTATAGTGTGCTTTTATAACTAAAGTTGAAAAAGTAGACCACTGTAACCGTTGATCCGAGGCCTTGCTTTACCTCACATTTTACCCCGTTAGGCAATCATGTTCGTTCAGTATTAGGTTTTCTGTTCTTTCCACTTTTCGTTTATGTTTCTGGCACATCTATTGAGTGTATTGTAAAATAAAATAATAGAATAAAATACTGCTCTTGCAGCATTGTGTCTTAGCAATTTTTTTCATTCAAGCCTATAGTAGATACATAATCATGGGGTTCTGTGCATATAATGTGCATATAATAGCTTATTTTACCTTCACTTAATTTCCTTGATTAACAATATAAAATTGGGCAAAATCAGTAAATTGACACTCATTGGTCTTCCTCATAGGTGATGCCTAATTTGCTCGATTAGAGCTAGTGGAGAAACAATGTACTGTCTAGCATTTGAAATTAGAAATCATGAGTTTCTCGTTTTGCAATAAGCCTAATGATTAGGTGAACTATCTCTAAGCAGACGGCACTTTTTGCTCATGCCTTTTACAGTGTAGGGAGAAAAACTCAGACTCCATTTCAGGACAATGATTCCGGACCTTCAACAGCTGGGACTCGCTCTACTCGTGGTCGAACACGTGGTCGTCCCCGCGGATCATCCAGAGGTTTGTCTGCATCAATAGCTCTTTTCTGCTGCTAAAGGAAACTGTTATTTGCTTAATTATAATCCAGGTGATTCTCGTCCAAGTCATGCAGCGAATACGGACTCAGCCCTTCCACAGAGCAACGCAGCACCTCGAGTATGTGTATGTGGCATCAATGCTGTGCAAAGAACCGTGCAAAAGGAAGGTCCCAACAAAGGCAGGAAATTTTGGTGTTGTTCGAAACCAATGGGACAACCCGATAAGTGCAATTTTTTCGAATGGGTAGGATAGGCTTCTTTCAGTTATGAGAAATTTCCTGGTTATAAGTTGCTGTACTACTTCTGTATGATAGATCTCTTGCATGATATTCACTTCAAAATTTCGCGGGTTTCACGTACCGTCTGCCAGCTTGTCTCTGTATATGAAGTTCCTGTAAATAAAAAAAAATTAATTATTACGACTGCTCAGAACTCACCGTATTGCTGGCGGCAGTAGGCCTCTTGTCACTGTTCTTTCGTAGCGCTCGACATGGGAGAAAAAGTTATTGGAATGTATCCATGCGTCAAATATTCTTCTTATGTGCTCTGGTCGTTTCTTCTATCTATCATGTGGATTTGAAAAGTGGAGGGTTTATTTTTCTCGCGCAATGATGGATTGTCTAAGAAAATGATTTAGTATCTTTTCGAGTCACGCTTTTATTCAGCTGGAGCTCAACATCACTATGAAATAGTCATTTTCTCCCAATCACTCGCTATTTCATCTCGTCTTGCCCCATCCGCGCTTATCCGACTGCCTTCATATGTTTGCATCATTTCTCTGGAATTTGTCCGTAACAGGGACTTATTTTTTCATGTATTTTTGCGGCACCACGGAAAATCGTGCTGACTCCTCTTGACATAACTACAACTCTTATTATCACGGATGCAAATTCGTTTTGGTTGCTTGCATGCTGGATTGAAAAAATGGAAAGGATTTTCTTGTTACGAAGATATAAAAAGTACAATGCAACCATGTTTCTTGTAATTTGTTGTTGAAAATTCAATTCATAGATGATGTGAAGTCATTGCATTTTTTTACATCAAAAGGAACTTTACCGATTTTCCTGTTCGGAGGAAGTTTGGTTTAATTATTTATAGGAAGTTATGGTTTCCTCGCAGTTTCGCAGCATCGTCTGAAGTTATTCACTAGAAACTCTTTTGCGCGAGATTCTGATGGATAAATTTATTTTGAACATTCTCTTATTTCATGAGTCACTTTCCACATTTATTCGTTCGTGCAGGTTCTTAGGTATAAGTATGAATCAGGTTGTTCGCTCCGAGCCTTCGTTTGACTATCGCATTATGCGCAGGTGACTAAAAGTCTGACACGGACCATTTCGAAATGTTGACTGCGAAAACTATATAATTTGTGCTCTATCAAAGCAAATTCTTTGAGAAAGGCTTGTTTTGAGTTTGGAATAAATACCGTTCCGTAGATCCGTAGAGTCAATATTTTTGGGACAATCTCATGCATGTACTACCTGTTTTAAGGTAACCACTGGATGGTGTAGGGCGGTTTTAGGGGTTTGAACCGAAATGTGTATATATTTTAACAGGAAATCCCACTATCATCCTTTTGATGGTCATATTTTGCCTCGGTAGGTTCGGACACATAGAGTATGATCAAAAATGATCCTTTCTGGGAACTAGTATATGCGGATTATCCACGAATGTACGAAAAGGAATGCTCAATATATGTCTAGCAACATTTCGCTCAGAATGTTTTTGTGCGCTAATATTCTTATCTGATGCTATGTCAGCACTTTCAGCAGTAGTACTTATCGCGCTCATTCAGGTGTTCTTTTTTGGTGATTGATAAGCAGTTCAAAAAACCCGCGGTTGGTATGCATTTGATTGTGAGAAGATTAGAATGGTAGAAGAAGAAAGTATTAGAAAGCGAACATTTTTGAGAATCTTCATAATTCCTAAGATCAAATGACTGCATGATAGGCCCACTTTCTGGATAGCTTGTTGCTAGAAAGTTCATTTGCACAATTTTTGTGTTGCAGTACAGTTTTTTGGTCTTGTGGCAGCGTTATCTGGCAGTTGTAAAAAAAAGTCTTGAATGATTGCTAGAACAAAAATGCATATTTGGCTTCTTTCAAACAAAACGACCGCAGAAAATGTTTTTCTAAATACGAAAGTCGAGTAGCATCAGTCTAAAGAAAAAAATGGAAATATGGTAGGGACCAACTCATTTTGTTTGAAGTTTTTAATCTTCCATAATGCCAGGTTATTCTGATCTTGATTAGCTTATTTAGAATTTTCGTGCTAGAGTCTGTTGTCTTTGAAAAGTATGATGCTAAGATAAAGAGAAACTCACAAACTTAAGGAATCGTGTCTGTTCGCAAGAGCTGTCACCATTGTCTTAGCTTTTGAAGAAACCTCAAATGAGAAGACCATGTATCGTGATCAGTTTTTCTACCGTCTGCTCACTGCTATTGCAAACGTACGTGTGATACAATTAGTCCCATAGTGCATTTACATATCAGTTACTATCGCGGTTGAATTGCTTGGCAATTTCAACGCCCGACCTTCTGATACGTTTGCGAGCGGTCAGTGTAGCGAAGTTTCCGTAAATGATAAAGGAAAGTACATAGGCGGTGGCGAAGGTTTCAGAGAAGATAAAATTCGCAGATTAACATGCTTTGGAATTATCTATTTTTAGATATTGGGAGAGTGCGATATTATGCGTTGTATGAACGTTGTAAAATTTTTATCTTCTAAAGAATCAAATTTTCTTCGAAAAATCACTATCTACTAATCTGAGGAAATGCGCTACTATGATGGAAGGTGCATGAGAAGATAATTTTGCACTAAAGGACCAACTTATGTGTTACTAGCTGGCTTACCCGGCTCCGCCGTATCCGAACTTGGCACACATACACTTCGGGCCCCGGCAAGTGTCACAGTCCACTTTTCGTTATCGATCGATGTCGATTTTACCGATTTTTATCGATTTTTTTGCAGAGTTCACCTACAGGGCTAGGAGTTGGCACAGGGGGGAAGTGAGCATGGGGATTCCGAATACAACATTAGTTTTCAGGATCGTCCATTACTTTTATCGATTTTATCGATTTTTTTGTAAAGTTTGACCTGCGGGGCTGGGAGTTTGCACAGGGGGGTAATCGAGCATGCTGATTACGAACACAATATTAGTTTTCAGGATCGTCCATTACTTTTTCGATTTTATCGATTTTTTGAAAATTTGAGCTAGGGGGCTGGAATTTGGCACAGGAGTGTAATCGAGCATGCTGATCACCCCCCTTGGGGGTGATCAGCATGCTCGTTTACCCCCCTGTGCCAACTCCCAGCCCCGTAGCTCAAACTTTGCAAAAAAATCGATAAAATCGATAAAAGTAATCGATAATCCTGAAAACCAATATTGTATTCGGAATCCCCATGCTCGATTACCCCCCTGTGCCAACTCCCAGCCCCGTAGCTCAAACTTTGCAAAAAAATCGATAAAATCGATAAAAGTAATCGATAATCCTGAAAACCAATATTGTATCCGGAATCCCCATGCTCGATTACCCCCCCTGTGCCAACTCCCAGCCCCGTAGGTGAACTCAGCAAAAAAATCGATAAAAATCGATAAAATCGATATCGATCGATGACGAAAAGTAGCCTATGACACCCGCCGGGGCCCGTAGTGTATGTGTGCCAAGTTTGGTCCGGATCGGTTCAGAAATGGAATTTTCTATTCGGAACATACGTACACACAGACATACAGACAGACAGACAGACATACAGACATACAGACAAACAGACATTCAGCTTTATATATAAGATAAGATCACAAATTTCTCACAATTATCGCTTGTGGATCTATTGCCAAGTTTGATTTATTCGGTAAAGAGACTAGGAGGTGGATTTTTGTAACGAATAATCAAGAACAAAATCATGTCAAAGTATGTAACAGTATGCGCTTGGAAAATGGCCTGCGATCTACTTTGAATTTAGTACATTCACTGGATATAAGATTAGTTAGGGTTACAATGTTGTTGAACAGATTGGCCGTTGTCCATATAAGTCGGAAACACTCCAATAAAAAAGTACGTATAAAAATTCTCGAGTTTTATGAATTTCAATTCATTCTTCTGTTCACTTGTTCGTTTTGGAAATCATGTACGCAATACGTTAGAGTTATTTTATCAGAATGTCGAAAGTTTTATCTTCTCACATATATTTTTTGCTTGTATACAATCATTGTACAGAAATCGTTTTGCTTTTATGCACTTGCATGTTTGTTTGCACAGCACATTTTGAATCTAGCAGCAAATTTCCAGTCAACAAAAATAAAATGTAAAGTAAAGCTACAAAGGTGCTTATGATTTGAAGGTAAAGAATGAAGCATTTTTGGTAGAAATGGGCTAGGCAATTTTGTATCTTTGCGTTTCAATAGATCCAGTGAGTATGGAGAAGATATACTGGTAGTTTCTTTGAACTTTGTTTTATCTCTCTTGAACTTCTGGGTTAGTATAACTAAGGTAAGGGACGAAACGGAGATGTCCTTGATTATATTCTTGATTGTTTATTCTTGGAATGATTTATTTTCAGTCATTATTTAATTACTGCGTATCTCTTCTTCGAACAATTCTCTAACAAATCGTTGAGCAGAACTTCAACTGCTAATTCATTTTTGAAGAGAAGAGCAGCTTTTCGTAACTTTTCTATCAGAAAAAGTTTCCTATCTTTTGTTTTTTCTTGAAAATTGTGCGCAGATTGGTGCAGATTACCGCGAAAAACGCTTAAGCTCATACCAGTCAGCTTAATGGTTAGGCTGACAGCTGAGTGAAGAAGAGCACTAAGCGGTCCGGTTTCGTTCGTCTTCCGTGCAACTCGTCCGACTCGAACGACAATTCCACCACTTCGGTGGCCGTGGTGCCTGTATCGATCGTCGATCGTCGCCACCCCCACCTTGCACTGCCTGTGCTCGACGGTCGCCCGCTGAGGTTCGACTGTTCCGTTCTTGTAATCTTCTACAGTAAGTTCTGTTCTTAACGTCTTTGCCCTTCCACCGTACCCCTTACCCTAGGAGATTTGATCTACTCCATCTCGAGCATTATGGCTGAGAAATCCGAGCAAAAAGACCTGACGCCATCGTCTGACGATAATATAGTAAGCTCATTACCGCCGTTACCCTTGGTCCAGTATCCTTCTAAAATTACAAATTTCCAGCTGATTCGTCACAAGCACATCGCTGAAAGCATCGAAATGATCCGAGTGAAAAAGGACCAGCTGTTGCAGACTTTACGAGGCTTGTCGAAAAGCGAAAATGTGCGTTTTACCGCTTTTTACTTGGTGATTGAACAGCGCTAAGGCGACTCTTAGGAGGGGGGGGGGGGAGGCGTAATGTAGATAAGCTGGAAAAGACTCACACCTTTACGTATGAAGAATTCTTACACAAAGTATAGTCTTAATCTTTTTTGAAGGAGAGAGAGTCGTATCACTCGTGCTTGTCTAGGATTGCCGAAGTATAAGAAACTTATCAAGATTCCTCTGACGCCAACTTTTTAGCGTAACGATGGAAATTGTACTATCAGATGCACGTAAAATTGCTGTCGTAGTGTTTGCACGATTGAGAGTAGAAACGAAACCTGAATTTACATTTCTTTCCCCAAAAAATCGTAAAGAAGAAGTAAATGCAAACTAGAATTTAGCCACAACTATATCACAAACAAAAATTTTGAGTTGTGCAAAGCAAGTGGGTTCTGGAAATTTCCTCGTGATTAGCGGACGTCATTGTCATATATTTCCACAGGTGCCATTGATCATAATTTCGTGATGTGCGTCATTGAACCCCTAAGAAAACCTGTTTTTTCGTATGTTACGTTCATAACGGCAGTGTGAATTTACGAAAGTTGAAAAAATACTTCATCGATATATCTGGCGAGATTTATGAAGGGTAAACTTATACAACGAGAGAGTACACTAGTATTTAACAGATAAAGAAAAGTAGAAGGCGAAGGAGTTCCAGTGGTTTTTAGTTTCATTTCGTTCTAAATTTACTATCCGGTTTTCAAGTTAAGTGCTCGACAAATAATACAGCTTTTTTTGAATACACAGGGTGTCCCAATAATAGCTACATCCTCAACCATCAATATCTCTCGTCCCACAGATTCTTTTGTATAGCTTTAGGTACAGTCTGTACTGACTTCAGCTTACAATTACGCAGTACAATGCGAATCACCGATCGCTTTTGCTTGGTGTAAATTTACGGTAGAATCTTCCAGCATACAGCGCCATTGTGAAATGACGCATAAAATAGTTCCAAGAAATCTGAAAAGTGTGCACTAGTTTATTCAAACATGCTGATTTTGAACAAGGTTTTGCGAGTTTCTTGAGCTTTAGAGATGTTTTCATCACATTTTTGAAAAACACTAAAAGGTGTTGTTGCGGCTTACTTGGCATAGCATACGAAAAGGCCTTATGTAAAGTGCAAATCTCATGATCTTTACTCAGCGACTCAGTTTAGCACAATTTTAAAAAGTATTCAGCATATTGGATATCCATTCTGGGTTAAAATATAGTGATTAATGGTTCGAAGCCCTTTTAAAATTCTTACCCTACAGTAATGAATACCTATAGATGATTTGCTACATACTCTGAATCTGTGCTGAAGCCAGCTCTACAGAATGGCACTTGAAGCTAAGCAAAAGACTGTGTAAAGAGAAAGACTGTGTAAAGAGAAATATCAAAGGTTAAAAAGTGTGCACATACTTTTGGGACACCCTGTATGTCACATTTCGGTGTTGTTTGAAGTTAGAAGCAAAAGTTTTTGCATATTTCACCTACATATGGACATACTTTCTGTAGGTTGGATTCTCAAATTTATAATCCAAGCATACTCCACTGCAAAATCAAAAATTTTGGTCTTTTCGTCATAGAAAATATTTCCCTATTACTTCTTTCATACAAATCGAGCCAAAATCTTCTTTTCGTTCTGCTATTTTGATTTAACCTCTAAATATTGTGCTCGATTCTCATAATACGGGATTGGTCATAATATGTAAATGGCAGGTTCGACGAATTCCATATCCATGAACAATGGAATAAATAGCGCATGCGACCAGAAAAACAACAGATAATAGACAACAGACAAATCGATTTGTGGACCGGTTTATTGCTTGCATAACTAGGTCAATAAAGGGCGTTTATCTGGCATTTGAAGTTGTTCAGGAATATATGGAAACATAGCTGGGGGGGGGGAGGGAGTGATAACATATTGTAACATTTTCTATTCACAGGATCGAAAATTCGGATACGCAAATTTTAGGCTCTTTTATACAAGTCTAGTTTAGCAGAAGAGTGTGAGGGTAAAGTCATATCATTTTTTACAGCCTTTGTATAGTATTACTCAATTACTCATTAGTAATGATCATTAGCAGTTTTACACTGAACCTCAAGGTACCGCTGCCTTATAAGCTTAGTGTAAGAAGAGCAAACACATCATCCTGCTTTTGCTCAAGTAAATGATTTTTCAAAGACATAAACCTATTATTCCTTGAAGTGTTTTGCAAAGCTCACCTATTGTGCGTGTTTTGCATGGTCTCTAATCTGAAACGTTGCTGTCGTTTACCGTGTAAAGTTGGATCGAAGATGTTACATGATCTAACAAGTTGCATGATTTGCATCTATTTTCCACTAACAAGGGAATGGTCAGAAGTCGAAGTGGCCAAACAAGCTGTATACCATTCGATGCAGTATAAATGCTGACTTCGAATCTGTCTTTTTTATCTGCTTCCCGCTTCTGTGGACGAAGCTACAAGCGGTTTTACTGTGAAAAAATCACACATAAAAACAGCGAAATTGAGCACATTGTTGCACTTTTAGCTTAGCTTTAGGCTTTAAAAATTTAAAGTAGCTTAGCTGCATGTTTTGGCCCAGCATTAAGGCGAACGTGGCTCTGCACGGCCAAATTGTTCAACTTCACGCGTAATTTCTTAGTAAAATAATGGTCTTTAATGGCTTGTAGCTTCGTCCACAGAAGCGGAAAGCAGATAAGAAAGACAGATTCGAAGTCAGCGTTTTATACTGCATCGAATGGTATACAGCTTGTTTGGTTTGGCCACTTCGACTTCTGACCATTCCCTTGTAAGTAAGCAAGTAAGACTTGTACCGTAGAACAGTTGCACAGTGCTTTTTACTCTCTAAATTAAGGGCTTCAATTATTTCGTTTTTTTTTTGCTCTGGAATTTTTCTCGAACTTTATCTGAGCATTTTCTAGTTTTGCTCATGCAAATTGCAGATTCACTTTTGAGATCCAGCTGTGATGAATTTTACATCTGCACTCAAATCTGCAGAAGTGAACGGTTGGAACAAGATTTTATGCGCAACCGAAGGAGGCGGGGGACAATTGAAGGCAGCGTCGAAGCAACTCTGAATAGTCGAATCTGAGTGTATGTGGGTAATGGTCGGGAGGCTTCAAAGTTCAACTGAATTATTGCTCATGCTGCAACCCATAGGGTTCGTGTCAAGAAATTTAGTTTGAAGCTCTAGCCAGACCGTAGCGAACGTTCACGGTCAGCGGAAAAGGTGCGGTTCGGGTGGAGTTTATGAATGAATTTTTGTCCACTAATGAATTACATGAGTTTGGAAAATGGCTCATTCAAGGCCTCTCAAGGGGATTCCACGCCTAATTTGCGCGCTTACTTCATACATAACTCGAAATCCCTTGTTGCTTACGGACATGCGAAATCTTTACTTCAACTTTGCCAGTATACTTAGAAGGAAGGGATGATTGCCGACGTATGTATAAATAACCATAACTAAATCCATAGCGTGCAATTTATTTGTCAAGCAAGTATAACGTCAAATAAAATGGGTATACGTTTTCCTCTTCGCTTCGCAGCTCAGTAAAGAGCATAGCAAAAGTTTTGAAACACCGAAACCCTATTTCTGATCTTCTTATTAACAAATTCTGCATGGGGGTGGAAGTATAGATATACGATTAGTCACTGTGTATAATCCGAACCATTTTGGCTCCATAATACCCAAATCCTAACTTCTTGCTCTTCTAGTATTGATAAAGCCTGAAGAACTCGTCAAGTATTAATCAGGACTAATCATACCCAAGAAACTTTGTGTGTTATACAGAAAAGCTTCTTACAGGTTCATATTACTTATAAACAGAAACAGTCACGAATTTGTCAGTTTGTGACCAAGATTAGAAAGGAGTGCTTTTGGTTTTTAATTTGATAGTTTCAATAGCTACAGGTTTGATGGACGCGACATTGAGAATATCTTTTGCGGAGGGTGCCTGCTCAATGATCATGAGATAATGGTTGTATATAAGCGGGCTCTGATGAATCTTAAAAATCATGAAATTTCTGTGACCATGATATTGATGATCAATCGCTTTACTGTTCAATTTCAGCCCGATAAGGCTCTCATGGCCAAGCTTATCGAAGCTTTCGACATGATGACCGCGCAAGAAAATCAGTTTTTAGGAGTTCTCAAGAATATTGTGGTAGGTTCTGGCATGTTTTGTTAAAGTCGTTTGCCATACAATGAATTTCTAGGATATTCACAATCAAGCCACAAATGATGTGGCTGAGGAAATGCAAATTGAAAAAGCAGAAGCAAAAACCACTGAGAAGCCGCAGACTAAAGAGGCAAAGAAAGAGAAAAGTGAAGAAAAAGAAGAAGATGACGGTGCTACGCTTTTTAGAAAGTTCTTGGGACTGTGTCAATCAAAAGTATTTTCCAGAAAATGATGAGGAACTGATCAGAGAGACACTGAAAGAGCTAGAAATGGTCTCTTTGAAAGCGCTTGCAGCTGCTGAATTGAATGAAAAGCTAGTGGAGACGCTGCAGCGGCACAAGAAAAGCGTGAGTATTTTGCATTTTGTTCCCGACTCGTTGGTTTCTCATTTCACCTCACGCTTGTTTTTCCTGTTCGTTTCTTGAAATAACATTGAATAAGCGATGTAGTTTATACGATAGCTTGTGTGGTAAAGGAGGGTAATGCAATGATAGATTTTATCTGACCTCACGTAGGGCTGTAAACGATGCTAAGGGGCTGGCCATACTATTCCAAGAGGTGATTCCTGCGACTCCTGTAATTCCTGCAGTTCTTGTAAATTCTCGACTTCCGATGTGTCGCACCACTAGGGGGCGCTTTGCCAACTTCTGTATACATTGTTTTTTTCGCAAATGTACATTGTTACGGGCCCGCAAAAATCACAGGAATCACAGGAATTGCAGGAATCACAGTAATATGGCCGGTCCCTGAGTTACTCACAAAGAATGTTTAGTCAGAGCGTCTTTTTAGATAGGATATATAGCGTACTGGAGGGCTTGGAACATTGACTCCAAATCTGCCTTCCTTATCTGCGGAGTGTTTATGGACGAAGCGTTGAGCATTATGAGCATTTGCAGGAGCAGAAAACTAAATGTGCCGAATAGTAAAAAAATAGTCGTAATATCTTTTTTTAGCACTCCTATGGATCAGTGATATTTATCGGAGGCTTTATTTGTTAAATATTCACGATAAAAAAAAACTATATCACACTTATTGCTTTGTTCAGGGTCTAAGAAGATTATAGCAACTCATTTTATCCTAGAAACACTTCCATTATTTACTTCAAAAAACGCTCATAACTCCTCTTTCACAAATTTTCCGCAAAAGAACGCAGATTTGGAAACAGCGTTTTTTGCTCTCTAGTGTGGCATGCCAGGACTGAAATTTTTTCACGCTATCTCAGGCAACATGTTGGGATATGCGTTTGAGAAAATGAATCCAGAATCAGACTTTCTTAGAACATTTCTGTTGGAAGTGAGACTCGAAATTTTATGACGTTGACCAGGAAAACGTCAATCAAATTTTTGTTCAAAATCACCTTCACTCAGGAAAAATTTTTGTCACCCCCCCCCCCCCCCATTGCGAAATCCTGGTGCGCCACTGCTGAAAAGGTTTTGAGTTCTGTTGGGAAGTTTTTTACCCAAGCACTGGCGGACTGAAGAGGCAGAGAGCGGGGGATAAAGGGCGAGATTTTCAATGGTGCCTACATGAGCTACAAAATCATTCAAGTGACTTGTTATGATCGCAAACAAAAATTATTGCTATTTTTGGAAGCTCACGTTAGTTGGGCAAAATATTACTTTTCGGGGATGGCATTCAAATTTTTGGGGTTTCAAATTTCTGGGGTTATATGTCCACGAAAAAGGAAAGACTCCCAAAACTTCTTTTGGTGGGCCTGGCGTGGTTTTCAGCCAAAAGAAATCCAAAAAAATATTTAGTCTGTCATCCCGGAGTGTTTTGATCCATTTTCGAGACAGCACATCGCTTGTGCATGTATGCTGCTTTCATGTTTTGTAGCGCTCTTTGCAAAAGCTCGCTTTATTGCTTCCTGCGGAGATTCGAAGACGTCGTTAATTACATATTCCATCGGTTAGCTATATGAGCTTCATCTGTTGCGATGCCATCTGCGTCCAAGAGCAGATTGGCACGACGATGCCTATAGACGCATACCTTGCAGCTGGAACCGTTTGCATACATGAGAAGAGCAAGACAGTTAAAGGAGTAATATTGGGCGAAATTATGCAAGACGTCTCATCATAACCCATCACCCCAATAAAAATAGTACTGAGGTCCCTTTCTGATGACCTGACGGAGAGGCATTGAAAAAGAGATTGTGTCAGTAGAAGCTGCAATCTTCCAAGTTGGGGCTATATGTTCTTGAAAATGAACGCAAATTTTTTTTTACAGAGAACGTCCATGTTGGAATTACGTCGCAACAAGACTGAAGAGCTGAAGACCGCTGCCACTGCTGCTGTCGCTGAAGTGAAAAAAGCCAAACAAGAGGGTAAGTCCATTAGGAAGATGTGATTGGTAAAATTTGAATAAAGTCACTTAATTTTTTTTGCAAATTTCGAATTTCTTTTTGCTTTGATTTTCTGCGCAAATCCAACATCCTCTGATCCTGTCTTTTTGTATGTTCGCGAGAAAAAACCTATTTCCAACAACAAATTAATTGTGTAGCTTTGTTTGCTCAGATGCAATTTTCGTCATTTTATAGGCTGACTCTAGGTTTTTCTTTCTACATCTGAAGTTTTTTTGTAGATCGTGATGACAAAAACATAGTTCTATAGGGCATTCGAAAAATCGTGGCGATGTCGCGACCGCGCGCGAACTTCCGGCGGACGCATTTTCTTGGTTTTTATCTTTACTTGAATGTTTTTTTTGCTTACATATGATGTCATTTAAAACTGGAAGTAACTGTCTGAGCTTTGAGGGCATGCTTTTTATATGAGTGTTTTATGCTCCTTTGGGCGCAAACACCTGTCAAATCTGTCGTCACATTCTATAAATGACCTATGCCAGTTTCTGTTCAATCATTTTGAGAAGCTTGGGGGGGGGGGGGGGAGACAACATAAATTCTTTACGGTTGAGTGGAGTGGCGAAAATTTTCTTCAAGATCAGTCCGAATTCCCAGAATCCATGAAAACACAGTAAATCAAGTTATTTGGACAAATCATGCAGATATCGTGTTTCAATTCCGTCCCCTTCCCCCTTCCTCCCCCGCGGTCCGGTGCATCTTTCTTCCTCTGCTTTTGGCTTTTCACATCTTCGGTAATAACATACTGGAGCAGGAAAAACTGATTTTACTGCTTCATTCTAATCTCTTCTCAAACAATCCTCTAGATTTTGTTGAATTGAAACGATATCGAACTGCGTAAATGAATCGTGAGCCGTGCCACTTTTTTTTGGAAAGGTTCTAGGAGCGTCTTCTGTAGAAAATGATAAAATTCGTTTAGTATTTGCTAACAAAGCCGAAATCCAGAAGAAACAGAGAGAAGCCGAAGAGCTGCGCAAAGCAGCCCTGAAAGCTGGAATACAGGTTGGTACGGGAGGAGAGAAGCATGTAAGCTCTTTTATGCTTTCAACTAGATTGCAGGCATAATTGAGAACCGTAATACCCCCACGTTTTCTTGATTATTGCAGAAAGCCGAAGTCAATGCTGCTTTGACTGCAATCACTAACGATGTGGAGAGAATTCCTCCGATTCCAGTGGTAGAGGATCCAAAAGACATCAAAGAGCCCGAAGACCCGCTTGAAGCGCGTCGTCGACAAATTCGAGAGAATGTTCGCAAGGAAAGGGAACGGTGTGTCTTTTGGGGTCAAGATTTTATGCATATCTGTTGCAAATTTGTTCTATACTTTATAGATTTTGTCTCGTAATCTAAAAGGTTTATTTTGTAACTCTTGCTTATTATAGTGGTCTTCTGAATAATGTGCTCTATGCATTTACTGCCTTCTTTTGTGCCCGCCACCAGTTTCGGCTGTAGGTAGGGCAGTCAATAGGCTAAACTGCGTTTCTTACAGCTTTCTTATCGAAGGAAAAACAGTTTGCACTTTCAATGTACACTAATTATCAAAACCAACCATTAGTCGGGAACGCGGCATCTTTTTCTAACCTTCCTCCACTGTTCCATAAGGGAAAATTTATCGAATAGAATATGCAAGAAATTACCTCAAAAAATGGAAGCTTCAGTGACGATGCACCTTTTTTCATTACGCTTTCAATAGTGTTTCTTTTCTACCCTCCCCCCCCCCCCCCCAACCTCCCTCTCTTCTTCCTCCCCATAAAAAGTTCTTTTTCCTATTGGTATGTGTAAATTTTGTCTAGTAGCTTTCAAAGGTGCTGCGAGCACAAGTGTAGATGCTTGGGCTTTATTTACAGAGAAGTGATATTCTAAAAGAAAATGAAATTCATTTGCCGCCAAACTGTTCATAAATTTTAGCTAAGGAATGCAGAACTTTATGATCTAGGTCATCGCAAAGAATCAGGCATTCTTGGAGTTTTTACAGTCTAGAGATGGATTTTTTCGGGATCAGGTGAACATATCCTCGATCATTTTTTCTTGCAAGAAGAATCTCTTCCTGCAAAAAATCCTGGCGCTTCACATATCTCCACATACTTCCGCTTTCAAGAAAAAGAAATCACAAATGAGGTGGTGAGGAGAGTGTAAGAAAATGTCACACCTTGGCACAGTACGTGCCTGGAAGCTTTGCTGGAACGTCCCCCTGAGCTGTCGGAAGTCTCACAGTCCGAAAGCTCAAAAGCACATTTGTCTGCTCTCGTTTCTATAATAGCCCCTTCGCTGCTTTCATTTTGCTCCCACACAGCTGTTTCGAATTTACCGGAAGATACATACCTTTCCATCTTCTTTCTGCGTTTGTGAGGTTCCTTCCCGATTGTTTCAGGGAAAATTTTTCTAATTTCTCAAATTCTTTCTGAGTCAGGTCTCTTTATTATTTTTGCAGTTAATTTATATTACACATCCATTTAGCAAAAACATCCGAAATGCGGTTAATGTTATGTCCTATACAGTGCTGGCCAAAACTATAGATCCACTATAAAAAACTGCCGTAGTTCATCTGCTTCTCAACGAATTGATCTGAGATTTGGTACAGTTGTGTGTTCAACAGGCTTTCATCAGTGACCGGAGCGGATTCCGCTTTCGTTAGATTATTCAGGAAAAAAATTAAAAATTTCGAAAAAAGCAGGCTCGAAGGCTGGCCAAAACTATAGATCCACCTAAAATTTCTGTCTGCTAACGTGACTCTTAGCTTCCAAAATCTTTTGTGCATAAACCTAGTCGAAAGTCAAAGCAGTGGGTTTAGTTTAGCTGCGTCATACCTTTATAAGAAACTCTTATCTGCTTTTTTCCACTCAAAAACTGCTCTCATGCGTATTTTGTTCCCGAAAATGTGTTTTTGTAGAGGGTTCCGCACTTTTTTGACTGGTTTGAAAGTGGTAGGGCTCCATCTATCTTATAGATGCTTAGCAGCGTGAGCAGTAGAAAAAAATTCGGGTTTTCGTATCCAAAGCGCACCTGACACAGACATAACCGTAGGCCTGCGCTCGAATTTTTGCCTTCAAAATTGGTATCCGCTATTTTTATAAGCTCAAAATAATGTAGAAGCATTATTTAGCATTATTCACCTAAAAAGAAGTTTGTAAACTATAGTTACAATTGCTTGCGAAGTCGCACTTTAATTCTTTTTCAAAGCATAAGTCTTGCGGTGTGTTCGGCAATCTCAAAGTACTTACCAACTGGTACCTTCTTTGAATTTTGCCACTTTTTAGCTGCTAACTATTGAATACACCCTGCAATATGTGTTGTCTTGTGATTCACATGAGCATTATGGTCAGAAGCAGAAATAACTTCAAGGCTTGTTGCAAATCACTTTTGGCAGGAGGAAGTCCTCAATTAGCTTGCATACTAGGATCTGCAGAAACCTGCAACCACTGCACACGGACTCTCATACATACCAACAATGTAACTACTCCAGTTCACGCTCATGACAACGTTGCAGAAAGAGCATGAAGGCAAAAATTCGAGCGCAGGCCTACGGTTATGTCTGTGTCAGGTGCGCTTTGGATACGAAAACCCGAATTTTTTTCTACTGCTCACGCTGCTAAGCATCTATAAGATAGATGGAGCCCTATCACTTTCAAACCAGTCAAAAAAGTGCGGGATCCTCTACAAAAACACATTTTCGGGAACAAAATACGCATGAGAGCAGTTTTTGAGTGGAAAAAAGCAGATAAGAGTTTCTTATAAAGGTATGACGCAGCTAAACTAAACCCACTGCTTTGACTTTCGACTAGGTTTATGCACAAAAGATTTTGGAAGCTAAGAGTCACGTTAGCAGACAAAAAATTTAGGTGGATCTATAGTTTTGGCCAGCCTTCGAGCCTGCTTTTTTCGAAATTTTTAATTTTTTTCCTGAATAATCTAACGAAAGCGGAATCCGCTCCGGTCACTGATGAATGCCTGTTGAACACACAACTGTACCAAATCTCAGATCAATTCGTTGAGAAGCAGATGAACTACGGCAGTTTTTTATAGTGGATCTATAGTTTTGGCCAGCACTGTATATCGCTTTGAAACACCCAGAATTCTCGCTTTTTTTCTTTTATTTGGCAGATTTTTTTGTGGAATGTGATCACCGTCTTCTCGCGTTCCTCATGAGTAGCTTTTACAAACTACCAAAAAGCTAAAGGCATCAGTCAGTGAATACAATCTGAACACTTTCACAGAGTCCTTTACCCTTTCCCATGTGCATCCCTTCTACCACTCTCCAAGAAATCAAGAAAAAGACCACAATATGCAGCCAATTTCTATCCAAGATTCGGCGCTCATTTGATTAGGGTTCTTCCAAATACCTCTTAGGCATCCTTTATGGAACCAAGCCCTTCTCAGACATAGACAGGAGAGCATGGTTAATGTCTCTAGATTTTTTTGTCCGTTTAGTGGAAAAAAACAAGGCGCAATTTTTCATGATTTTAAATTATTTTGGCATACTGTCATCTGCAGTTGACAAATTTCATAAATTTAATTTGAATTTAATTAATGAAATAGAGAAGCTGAGGTTATGGAAATTTTTACAAGGATTGCATGATTCGCACGCTGCAGCATGTGCTATCATTGTTATTTAGGTAGATAAACACTAGCGAGGGATTTTTCATTGAGTTGAGTAAATATTAGTTAAAAGTTATGGTCCAAGGCGATTTCGCGGGCCAAGATTTTGGCGAGTTATAGCTGAAATTTTAATTTATTTTGCAAAGTTGATTCGAATTTTTCGAAAATCTTTGAAACGTATCTTAAATATGAAGTGACTTGCATAATATTAGTGAACACTTGCAAGAATTGCGTGACTCTTTCTTTCTTACCTTCCTTCCTTTTTCTTCCGATCCGCCACTTGCTGATGGATGTTTCTGCTGGGATTTTTTCTTGATAGTCTAACTTAGACATATAGCGAGGAAGTTATGTTGCGATAGATGTTTCTTACTTTTTACTTGATCACTTACTTTCCAGACGTGAGCATGTGAATCAAGTAATCAAAGAAAAACTTCTTGCAATGGAAGCACGAAAAGAACGCATGAAAGAGATCCGTAGGCTGCTGGCCGAAAATCAAGGTACATTTCTATTTGGTCCCTTCCATGCCGATTTTTTCGTGGTAATCTCATCTGCCTCTGCTCATTATCATCATCAATTAATCCGTTGCTTTTGCAGCGGCAGCCACATCGATTCTGACCGAAACGAAGAAGAAGATCGAAGCAGCGATGCCGGAGGGAGAAATTGGCAAAGAACACGTAAATGGTAAAGCAGAGGGAGGCGATCCGATGCCGAATGAAGCCAGAGGCGGTTCGAAGCCGAATGAAACCAGGGGCGATTCAAAGCCGAATGTTGGCAAGAAACCCGTGGTCACTGAGGGTGCTATCGTCCATGCCATCCCGGCTCGTGCTGAAATTCCCGTGCCAACGGAGAAAGCACCGCCAATACCCGCAGATGCTGAGGATAATGAATACGATGAGGAGGAAGAGCAAACAAGGAGGGATATCGAGGAGACATTCCGAAATGCCGAAGCAAATCTGGCGTAAGTGCTCCCGGCTATGTTCAGATCGAATAAAGTCCATAGGGCAAATTGGGGGGCAATGTTTCTCTGAGTGCGGCTGTCCCTTTCGACAAGGCAGCAATTGCTTTTGCCCTTGGGCGACAGTTGGAAGATGCTTTTGATAAATTGCTGCAGTGTTTTGTGCTATGTGCACGTACGATGTGCTAGCTAGGGCTGTTTCGTCTGTCAGTTTCGTGCCCTTGATTAAGCCGCCTCGTCATGCCTCATTGGAGAAAAATTGGCCAGTAGGGTTTTTTTTCTCAGACTTCGATTTTTGAGTTACCTAAGAGTACAAAGTATGGTGGTCAACAGAGTCAGCCAGTCAGTCAATCAGTCATTGTTCTGATATCTTCTCGTTGCAGGAACCTTACACTGCTCAGACAACGATTGGAAGAAATGAAAGAACGTGGCGGAGAGCTGACACAGGAAGACGCTGAGCTAATTGGTCAGCTTGATCTGGACGATGTAGCAAATGGCCGAGTGTATTACGATGAAGACGAAGAGAAGCGAGATACGCCCCCAAAGGTACGCTTTTTCACTCTTATGTTCGAGGACAAGTTTACGATTTTTGCGCTTTTTTTTTCTAGCTTTTAACATTATTACAAACTTTTTGCTTCAACTTATAATGCAACAGGGCTGGAGTGAACTCGGGTTTATTTGACTACTAACACATAAAATGTTGAAGTCCTGCTCTCGTCAGTCTAGTTTTATTGATGAGAAACAGGCGCCCTAGGGGCCTGATTAAACACTTTGTTCGTTTTTTTTCTGTCTGAAAGAACATCATGCTTTGACAAAGTCGCAGCGAGAAAATGCTGGGCTCTGAAAAAATTCCCCGGCAGTCGCATAATATTTTGTAATTTGGCCAACATTCTACAAATGTCAAAGTGTACAGAAACCTTCCACAAGTGAGTTTCTCACTTGCTTTGTTTAAGTACAGAAATGAAAAGAAATAAAATGCTGTTATACGAAATAAACTGATAGACAAGATTGCTGAAAAAGAATTCTTAATAGTAAATAAATCACCTAATAAGGACCTACGTGAGTGTATGTTTTGTTTACCTTTATGCTCATCTAACAATTAGGTGAATGCCGTTTGAGACATAAATAATTACGTTGTTCATATGTCTTTCCAAAACTGGTTAGAAATCTGTATTCAAATGTTATCATTTAGTTTAAAAAATTTTTCAACAATTTATTCTGTGTTTCACTTGTTACAAGACACAAAAACTAATAAAGTATAAGAGATTGTTAAGTTCACTCAGTGTACCATATATTGTACTTTGTTATGAAAAGAGCTTCAAGTAATTTTTTTGTTACTACAAATATTGTTGGGTGACTATAGCGAACAATTATTGTTCCCAAACAATTCTAGCTATTCAATAGTGAGGAAGGATTTCGCTCTGTCGAAAAATTATCTAGCAACTTATCGATGATTATTCAGGAGAAGTAGGAATAGTCGGATGTCTAAATTTTTGCAGCTAGGCTGCAGGGGACATGAGCATTGCTAAATGGAACGATATTTTATGTTACTTTGCAAATTATGCACTTGAATGCGAAACTTCCTCGACTCATTGAGCTGGAAAGCTTGCAGCTTCTAACCTCGATTCTTTTGCTAGCTCGAATTAGATCTTACATTTAGTTCCTCGTATTCAGAATTGCGAAATACTCATTGTGATCATGGGAAGAAAATAATGCAGGTTTTTTGGGCCTCTTAAATTGATATCTCGTGGAAACTAGAACTTATACGAGGCCTCAAGTATGTAGATTGCGGTTGTAGATTTGAGGGTTTCTGGCATATAACTGCATATATGGGAGGAGTCAGACTGATGGGGCGGGGTTTGCCATTCTTTTTATTTCATTTTTTCTTATCTCTAACTACGAAAAATATGCGGCATGTATATATGGATGATTGAATGTATCTATCATATACAGGAGAAATCAAGAGGTTTGTAGGATTTCTTGGGATAAAGTTCCATTTGGCATTTTTGATTTTTGAGTTATAAGTTACTCTAAAGAAACTATTCAGTCTTCAGAACTGCTGTTCCAGGAATAATCTAATTTCCTTATAAAAATAAAATAAAACATTAGAAGAACATAACATAAATTGTTTTACAACTGAGGAGGTACTGACAGAGTATTTCTAGGATTGTAGCATAACTTTTTTCTATCAAGTCTCACTTTTCGGTGTTGGCTGTATCACAAACTTCTAACAGATGATTTTCCTAATGCCAGACGATGTGAATCTTACTAGAATATTTCAGCTGCAACTTTTTTGGACCAGCCTATATTCTCAATAATATCACAGTTTCGCAAATAACTCGCCTCGTAATTTCTGATTGCTACAACTTATTTTTGGAGATATATCTAGAAAAATCGATGTGATCCGCACGTCACTTTGATCCTGTGCTCTTTTCGCACTTTGTCCAAGTTTCGAAAAAAGAAATGCGAAGCATATAAATAGCAGCGGATCGCTACCCCTGCAGAGAGCACTTTGCGTGCATGGCAACGTTATGAATGCCGTAGTATTAATAGCATTGAGAATGTATGAGAGTGAGAAAGAGAGCGACCGAGAGGGGCATCTGCTCTGTCGATGGCGCTGCTTATGGCTTCGCACATCCAGGCCCCCGGTACCGCTTTGAACTCGGAACCGAGGTCTGTTGAGGTGTGACCAGCGATGAGCATGCCCGAACGTAATGACTGATCGACTTTTGGTTGATGCTAACAGCAAGCAACAGGCCTCGTCGTAAAATATTGTTATTGCACGGGTGATCAACAGAAGTTGCGATTTTCTTGATTTTTACTATTTAGGTGCATGGTACTTTTAAAAAGAGGTGTACCGTGCAGATGAAGATAAACCAATAAATCAGCCTTCTACAATTCAGCTTCATTACATAATGTTGGATTGACTTATGGTCAGCCAGCAGCAGCCCTCGAAAACATTATAATACTTGCAACGAGTGATAAATGGAAGTTGAGATATTCAAGACATCTGAGGTAGAAAAATGATAGTGTTTCTTAATATTGAGTTGGGCGGAGCTATACCGCATGCTGATGCTTGAAAAATCCATTGACTAGCCTAAATTCCCTTAGTTTTTGTTTTGAAGGAAATATTCGTTTTTGCATGAAAATTTTAAATGGAGGATTTACATTATGTTAACGCTAGGAAAATCAATAAATTAGCAAACAACCTTTTATCTCTTATTTTGCTACGTTACTGCATACCATTTCTCTATGATGCATTTTGCATGTTGGGTCTCAAAAATTTTGGGATTTCCATACAAACAAGATTTGAAATATCAAAGTCACGGATGTGGTCCGTCCATGGACATTTATCCTCTTGGATCATAAATGGGATCTTGTTTCCAGATACCTTGATTTTGGTTTGAAGAGTTTTGAATATTTATTTACCCATCTATTTTCCAATAAATCTCCCAGAACTGCAAGAAAAATTTTGCTAACTAACGATAATTGTCTGTGTTATGTTTCTGTGAATTTTGGAAAACAAAAGTGTTGCACTAACTTCCTTTGATTCTTCGCTCTGTTATGGCTTGGACTTTACCAGAAAAGTGGACTATTTTGCATACTAATCCCATGACAATGTTGGTGGTCCGAGGTTCCCTAGGAGTTTTCGCTGCAGTTGCATGAATTGTTTTTTGTTCATCTGGATGGTTTGCCGTCGATGATCCGCTACTCTTGGATTACAACAGAGTGCTGGCTAGCTAGTGTGTTCTGCATTCCAGCAGCACAGCGGAATCTCTCCTTTACGAATCATTACACCGCCACCACCATCACACACGATCCCAACGACGACGATGAAGGCGGATGATGCGCACGATGCGATGCCATGTGCTGATGAATGTGCGGAACGTCTGAAGCATATGGAACAAATGTTGGAAGAACAAACGTCGATGCTTGCGGAATTGGTTGGGAGAAATCAGGTAGAGTCGTTGGAGCTTTTCGGTGCTCGGAGATTCCTAGGCTAGCGAACTCGGACAACTGCTCCTGGCTGCTTTTATTTTGTGGTGAAACGCAACAGTAGAAGAGGCGCTTGAACTGTTGTCGGCCACTGCTGAACAAGCTGGTCAGCAGCAGCACTTGGGCCTTTTCATTAATACACACACAGAAAGGCAGACAGACATACGCACATACATACACACATGCGACAGACATAGACATACACACTAGAGGGGGTAGCCGAGCTTCTGGCAGGCATCGATCCGACGAAGCGGGGGGCGGCGCGCCACCCGCTTCCATCGCTGCCTGCCGTGCTGTCCGGGCGGCCCGCCGCCACGGCCGGCCCTTCCCCTCTCACTTGTCACTGCTTCTCAGCCATCGAACAGTCGTCTTGCCACCGTCGCCGTGGTCCCGTCCGAAGTGCTACTCGACCTGCTCCGCTCCAGCGATCCGGCCCTGCTCCAGGCGCTCGCCGCCAGCCTGCTCCAGCTGGCCAATCGCCTGCCGACTCCGCATCTTCCACGTATTCTCACAGCCATCTGCGAGGTTTGCTCTCCGTTACTCTTCGTTTCTTGCCTTGAGTTCAGTTCGTTCGTCGTCGTCGTTGTAGTGTAGCCGTGCGTGCGTGCGTGCGCGGTACTGCGACCCGCCAGTTAAGTGAATGCTTTGCCACAGTCTTAGACATTGTAAGCTGGGCTAAGGTTCGCTTAGGCTGGAGGGCGCGCCGACCGTTGCCTTATTTAGTCTCTAATTTGTGCGAGTGGTTTTTACGTATGTGTGCTAATGGTACATACGTGGTGTTTGCGTGGATGTTGCTGTTGACGGATTTTTGTGCCGCCATTTCACTTCGTCACCTCTCGCGATCGCTGCTGTTCTTCACTGTGCTGTGTTTATTCCGATGCTATGTGCGGATTCGCGCTTTCAAAATTTCGGTGTCGGAAAAGATTCAACAATAACACAGTAGCGTATTGTATTCAAATGAGAATGGCGGCATGGAGATCGATCAGTCATTGTGTGGGTGAATCGATTCATGGCCAATATTCACTTACAGGGAAAATCCCAACAAGTCGGCACATCCGAATATATCCAGGATTCTACCCCTCCAACAGTCGCGCAGGTTTGAGATTTTCTCCTCGTGTGCTGTGTGGATTTTTGGGTCTGTCTTTGTTCGCAGCGCAAGTTTTCTGGCTTTATCAATTTTTGAAAACTTACCAATCTTTACGGACTTTTCCTCTGTTAGAGTTTTTTGACCACATTTCTGCACGGCAATGGGGTTTCTCTCATTTGCAATTTTTCCTCTCTAACCAGAGATTTCCGACGTGAAATTTGATCCACATTTTGGGCTCTACCAAAAATCGTCGTTTTCCTTCTCGATTGTCTGATAGCTGTCCCCGGCTGCCCCCAGCCGTCCTCTCTGTCTCACATTTGCCTTTCAGCTTGGACATTTGAGCGCTTTGACTGCATCAAGTTGAAACGAGCTCATTTGTTTCAGAGAGCACACACAGCTGCTCCGCTCGCCATTGCTGCTATCGCAGCTTGTTTCGCTCGTTTGCCGCTGAAGTTTTTACCGC